GGAGGACTGAATAGGAGGAGGGGGACTGGGGGAGGACTGAGGAGGAGGGGGACTTGGGGAGGACTGAGGAGGAGGAGGACTGACGAGAAGGATGAGGAGGAGGATTGAGGAGGAGGACTGATGATTGAGGAGGAAGAGGAGGAGGATGAAGAGGAGGAGGACCCAGGAGGTCCGGAGGAGGACCCAGGAGGAGGACCCAAGAGGAGGACCCAGGTCCCAGGAGGAGGACTCAGGAGGAGGAGGAGGAGGAGGAGGAGGAGGAGGAGGAGGAGGAGTCTCCAAAAGCTGTGTCTCCAATATCTCCAATGCCCCTAATATCCATTTTATGTCCCTAATGTCCCCAATGTCTCCAATGTCCCCAATGTCCACAATGTCCCCAATGTCTCCAATGTCTCCAAAAGCTGTGTCTCTAATGTCCCTAATGTCCCCAATGTCCCAAATGTCTCCAAAAGCTGTGTCTCCAATGTCTCCAATGTCTCCAATGTCTCCAATGTCTTTTTCGAAAAGATAAGGTGCGGGAGACATTGGAGACATGTCACCCCCCCATTAAAAAAGTGTGATTAAAAAACGCTAGTGCGAAGACACAAATTTGGTCAGCCCCATACTTAATCAATATACAATATACAGTATGCAGTATAGTAGGAGTACAGACAGATCCGTCTGAAAAAATCGATTTGCCGACACGCAAAGCTTATAAAGGATTTTTGACGTTTTTGAGTCCCGTTAGATGCCCTTTATGGCTGACCAACTTTCCCAAACTTTTCCACGTGTCTTAAGGGGGCCCGGGTCTTTATGAAATTTTTCTCGAAATTGATTTTATAGTTGTTTCTAATAGAGGGGAGTAATATCTACCTTACTCGGGATTATTACGACGGGTTTATTAACGACCTGTTAAAATATGGTTCGGGAAAATATGGCGAAATTGCTCAAAACCCACCACATTTTCCCGGTCGCCATTTTACCGGTGTCCAACCTTTCAATTTTAGATTCAAAAATGTTGTCTCAGATGTAAATTTCCTTATTAGAGATAAGCAAGTTTGGAAATTTTCGCATTGCTAAAACTTGTGAAACAAGTCGAATTATCAATAAATGTTGAAAGTAGACAGAAATAATGACTCGTGGTTAATCAAACTAGATGGAAAATAATTTTTTTCCCTACTCTTGCCGAAGGCAAAAAGATCGTAGGGAATAAGTAATCGGGTTTGGATATATGAGGTGGCCCGACGGTCCTACGGTGTCGACAAAAGTCTGCTCCTTCGCAATATAGACCACTCCCCTATAATTATGTGTATAAAAGGAGTCTATTTTGCGCGCGCGACGCTGGTTATGAGTTAATTAATTACAGGCATAGCAACCAGTTTTTGGTGCTTGACGACTGTTACAAACGGATCAATCATCAATATAGGTGTTATTTGTGTGAAACAATCTTAATAAATTACCGAGTGATAAAATTCAGCAAGTCAAAACAAATAAAATTATGATGTCAGCTGATAAACTCGTGGCTGTGGGCTGATTATTTAACAGTTAATCGACACTGAATGGTAGAAAGCATTGGAATACATAGTTGAGAACAAATGTTACTTCACAGTTACATTCAAGAAGCAACTATAATATCAAGATTGTGGTATTCTTTTAAAGAATCCTATATCAAATAAAAGGCTCGAAAGTCGATGGTGCTGTGATGTGTCGAGTAAGAATCAAAATGTATTAGTTTATGTTAGATACAAATAATAACTAAGACGAGACAGCATATTTTATTACAGTCAATAAGTTGGCATACGATGCAGTAATATGACGTGACATGATACGCATATCGTTATTGTTAACACGAAACAAAACCGCGCAAAGTATGAAATGATCTACAACCAAACCACATACAGATCGACGGCGACACCTCAGATGCGCGCAGGATTTTTCAAGTTCTGCACGCCTAATATAATATAAACGTTTATTACATTGTACATGCGCCAAACACCACTCTGGGATACAATAAAGTAGAACAATTAAATTGTATGCAGTAGGGAAATTTGATCGTGCGTGGTGTTACCGCGGCGAAATTCTTGTTAACATTTGAAGCGTAACAACCAGATTGATATTAAGATAAAGGGAGAGCTGTTTAGTCTTCCAATAAGTTGTAATCATCTTCGTTATCCTCATCTGGATCATCCCTTTCATCAGTTTTAATTAATTCAAGTTTTAATTTAACTGTTACTTTTACTTTGAGTCCTATTTCATTATGTAGAGATAGTCAATACCTAAGAAATTAAAAATTGGCCTATTTAAATCAAATTTGACAATAAGGATATATGACAAGAATTGGGCAAAAAGGTGAATTTTTTGCAATTTTAGCCAAATGAAGTCGAAAAACCTACAACAAGTGTCCCAATAGTCTTCTTTAGTGAATATAAGACAACGATTAAAATATGAGCACCCATACCCCTTGGGAACCCTAAAAGCTGAGTAGGCGGGTTTATTAACGACCGGTGAAAATGTGGTTCAGGAAAAATATGGCGAAATTACCCTAAACCCACCACTTTATCCCGGTCATAATAATCCCGAGTAAGGTATCTGCTACTTTCGGTTCCATGGAAAAATATTGTTCCTCTAGTCGAAATTATTGCCGGTCAAAGGTCAGCGCTCATGTGTACTTGTATTGCGCGAGCGATTTTCAATCGCGCGCCCTAAAAATCGAAGGACCATTTAGAAGATTTCACTCGTTTTAGAATTTTTTAAAAAATTTTATTCCATTTTGAAAATCTTGGACCTGGAAAAATCGTAATAAAAAAAAAAGAGGTCCAAGATTTTCAAAATCGAATGAAAAATTATTAAAGGCCTATCTCGAAATTCTGAGACGAGTGAAATCTTCTAAATGGTCCTAAGAACATATCCTGAAAGTTTCAAGGTGATTGCTCAAAAATATAGGAGAATATAGATTTTTAGATTCGATTTTCAGAATAAAATATAATAAAATAAGCCATCACGGATCGGAAAATTGCTTGAGCGGCCATCCACAAATGAAAAAAGCGGCCGCATTTCGTGTTACGTTAGGTAGGCCGGTTCAGATTAGCAAGATCGACGGTACAGACTCAGAGAGGTTTTATTTATTACCTATTATGCGATTATTTTAACCCCATTGATTGATCATTGAAATCAATAAAATGATAGTAATAGTACTACTACTGCAGGTTTGATCTTAAATGTGCCTTTGGTGCAGTTTCTGTGAAAATCGATAAGGCTGTACTGTAATTAATAATGAAACTCTTATATCCTGTCTTGAAATAAATGTAAGTGAAAAATTTTCGAAGTTTTTCTCAAAACTACTTTTCTCCGTGTTTTAAGCTATTCCGATCATTTTGAGCCAATAAAAAAATTTTAAAATAATTATCCAATTAATTGATTATCTGACGTGAAAATTGTCAGTACAAAGTTTTTCTTCCTGATAATATGAACACCCTCGATTAATCTGCAACCTTTTACGATGTTCAGAACTAAATATATTCGACAAACAAGAAAGGTGGTAAAAAGTGGTAAAGTGGCCTTAAGACACGTGGAAAAGTTTGCAAATGTTGGTCAGCCATAAAGGGCACCTGATGGCACTCAAAAACGTCAAAAATCCTTTGTAAGCTTTTTGTGTCGGCAGATCGATTTTTTCAGACGTATCTGTCTGTACTATAGCAGTCTGTACGATAGGGCAGTAATCCAGCGACAAATCAGAAGAGAATTATATTTCCCATATTAGTCATTTAAATGTCTTGAGGCTTATGTTATATACTTCTACTCATAATAATTCGATTGGGTCGATTATACTATCAATTTTCAGTTTGCGAGAAAGCGCTGTTAGAAATTCAAATATTAAGTGCTCCAGAATTTAGCTCAAATAGTAACCTTATCAAAGAAATCACGTGAGAGCTCACACATCCAAAAGAAGTAGCTATATTTGCTAAATATTGATTAAATTGATAGTTCGCCGAAGAAGTTGAGCACAATCTCCTTAGAAATTCCATCGCAACATGCAACACAAAGTAACTTATTGAAGAATTGCTCTTTCGATGATATGCATAGAATGTATATATAATATAATACCAAAAAAGGCATCTCCATTACGGCCCACAAGAGAGCCTTTCAATAAGAATAAGCCTCCACTCCTGATATAATGGAACATGTAGTTTGACTCAGCCAGAACCCAGACAAAGAGTAACAAAGAGCCTCGCAGATCCTGCTATACATGAGGAGGGGGGCATCAAAAATGGGGCTCTTCACCGTCCCGGCAGACTTTCAATTAGGACGATGCAAAAATAATAGTTGGAGGTACAAAAAGCTCCAGAGGAGGCCGGGGTGCCTTTAAAAAATACCTGACCATTTCATTATAAAAGGGCCTGAGAAGTGAAAAATCTTTTGAAGGGGCGCCAGAAAACTTCAGCGGGGGGCCGTCCAGGGGCTCCAAAAAGTAAAGTTACGCAACTGGGCCCGAAAATTACTTTTGAAATCCTTAATTGGGTTAATTACCTCATCATATTCTGAAAACGGATAATCTGTGCCTGGAAATGATCCGTCAAAACGTTACGGTCAGTTTAGAGACTACACGATGTGACGCACGTGTATGATACGTGCATATGATAATAGTGCGACCAGCGACGTGTATGTACATACGCGCGCGTATGTACATACGCGCGCGCAGTTAAAAGTTACATTCGAGAATGTTAGTTGATGGGATCCTTTTTATTAATATTATGGAAATAGGATTTCCGGTCACCGCGCAAGCGATTTAATAAGTTGTGGCCGGTAGCGTTATTAAAAATAAAATCTGGCCGGGAATCATCAGGTCGAAATAAAAGTGCCATAACAAATATTGACGAAATTTTTTGTCAGACTTTTGGACTACTTTATTATGACTGGATTTTAGAACAGTCCTTTTGATTGATTAACACGGTAACCATCAGCACTCACCGGCCAATAATTGAGGCTGCTTAATAAAATGTATGGTTCAATTAAAAACATACATGTAACTGCTGTTAGAGCTGTCCACGCACTGCTTGTATATCTTGTAAATATCATTCTCGTAAGGTACTCCTCTCCACATTTCTTGGGAACAACCTGAGATAAGAAGTTAGGCTACACAAAATGATTCAATTTCTAGAATAATAATATAATAGGTTGCCTGTTTGATTTTTACTTGGCATTAGCTATCATGCTTAGATGTGCAGTTTCTTTAAGCGGAATTTATTAGGCTGCAATATTCCCGAAACTCTACGGTGTGGTTCAAACCTATCCACTTAGTAATTATCTGACGAACAAATTTCCGGAAAAAATTTCCGAAACAAACCCCTCGATAAATATGCAATCTTCTACGATGTTTATAACTAAAAATATTTGACAATAAAGAATGGTGGTAAAAAGTAGCCGTCAAGGACATGATATAGTATTTTTGGAACCCCAAAATTTCAAATATGATATGAACTAACCGTCCAGATCGATCTTTTTCAGACATAGAATACTGCTGTCCAAGTCCTGGCATGTGTTGGTTTTTCTCTCAAAACAGAAGCTAATGGCAGACGAGTTACAAGGGTTCAGAACAGGGTCCACCAAACAAACATCTTTGTAGGTTCTCTGAAGGGTTATAAAATTGAATATGCCAGAGTTATTCTGAGATCGGAGGGAGTTATAGGCATTTATAGGTATTTTATAAGTAGTAAAAGTGTAGTAAAAAATAATCATTATACATAAATAGTAAATACCTACACCTATTTTGAAATCGGAGGGAGTAATAGGTATTTATGAGGTTGATGCCCCCCCCCCCCCCCCAGATTTATTGAGATTACATATTATATATATATATATAGATTATAGCGTCAATAAGACTTATAACCTGATAGTGAGTGGAGTCAGGACAAGATAGCTGCTCGCAGCTCGCACAAGATTTTATGAAGGAACAGTTCGTGTCCGCTTGCATACAGCGTAATTTACAGCTGAAATTAACGATTCAACATATTTTGTATGTATGGAAAATGAAAACTAAATAATTCAAAAGTGAAAACTGTGAAAATGAATATGACAAATATTGAGATGTGTACTTTTAATGGTTTGAATCACTTCAATAATCAGAGCTAACGTGGACTGGTTCCGTTCACTTTTCAGCCATTGATTGATGTGAAGGTGGAATTTCGAGTGAGGTTATGAACATTATTTTCACATGATGTGTGAAAGCTTGTGCATCCAGAACCACTACTGAAGAGATTTCGGTTTCTGAACATTGTGATAAAATTGATATTGAGGTGTAGATCAGCTAATTTAAGGTAACAATTATAATAACAGTAAATTCATGTTTCCAAAGGTTGTACTGTTTATAGTTTAGTGTTTACCTGGCGCACTGATCCCCACAGAACCTGTCCTCCTCTGTCCCATTCCTCACCCTTACATCTCCTATAAGCTCGGTACCATGGCTCCACACTGTTTTGTTAACAGGCTCGTTCTCCCACGTTGCCATGCCAATAGCACCAGCAACCAGACTCTTCAGGGTGTCAAGAGGGTTGTCTACACATCTGAAAGCATTTTAAAAACGTTTTGTTTCAATTTCGTCGGTATCTACTCACTACTGTAATAATAGTGGTTCGGAAACCAAACTATGGACAGTTGTTAATTGAATTAATCGGTAATTCTGATTTAAACATCGTCATTGTTCATAATTGGAGATACCTTATGAAAGGAAGCACTTGTTTCTTTATGTCTAGGAATCTGTCTAGTATTCTGATTGAATGAAGTTCGCCTACAAACGAGGGGTAGCCTTTCGGGAGCATCTTTGGGGACTCTCCAACGCTCTGCAAAGAATTTCGCTACAGTAATTCACTAGATTTATTTACTAAATTAATTAACTAAATCACTTGAATGACCAACTAAAGCTAATTAATAAGCTAAAGAAATACATTAAATTAACCTTGAAATTGGAGTAAGAACAGTAATAAAACAAGGTTAAAATGCAGTAAAGAGGGTAGTGACTAATGATCTACATCGTGGATTTGAACTCACCACAATTCCAAGCAACGTATTTAGATTCCGATCTGCAACAGCAGTAAACCTCCTAACGTAAGCAGGCTGCAGTCTGGTCAATAATCCTCCCTCATTTCTGAAAACAAGACGTCAAGAAGCGTGATGTGACGTCATGAAACTTGATGTGACGTCACGCCACATCCTCCAATGCCACCATAACAAACAATAATACACAAGAAACCAGATATTGAATGACCCCCGAAATTTTATATTTAAAAACAATAACCTTATCCAAACAGTAGTTTCGATCCTAGGCTGAACTCTGAAGCTGACACAGAGTGTCGTCACTTGGCCGGCTGCGAAGGGAGAAGGAGAAACAAAAACCGCTCCACCAATATTGACTGACCTGATGTGGATATTCGGAAATATTATACATAATAAGTTAACTATGTGCTAATATTCGAGGGAGAAGGAGTGGAACACGGGTTCGTTATTTGAACACTGATTTTATTATCATTATTGCTGTCAACTTGGAACAGGAGGAAATGGACAGAACTCAAATCACGCAGAATTAATTATCCTGCAATAAATCTTGAACTAATGTTAGTAAGTGATGAAGTAGATATATCATAAGCAGGAGGTGACCGGGAATCCCGGTACCGGGATTGGCAATTTTGAGCTATCCCGGTCCCGGTCAACCGGGTCAAGTCACATTTTTCATCCCGGTCGCGGTCCCGGTCCCGGTCAAATGCTGATTTATGATCCCGATCCCGGTCCCGGTTCATTCAGGATTCTTGGTCCCGGTCCCGGTCCCGGTCAATCACTCAAATTTGCCGGGATTTTGACCGGGATCTTTTACATAATTTCATTCACTGTGATTTTAAGTTTTTACTTTCATTCATTGTGAATTTCATCTTTAAACAACCTCTGAGCCAAATAAAACCATCTTTAAAATTGCTAAACAAGTTTAGGTAACTAATATCGTCACATAACTAAGTGCAAACTAACATCAAGTTTTCAACTCGGGCTACGCCCAATTGTCAATTGGAATTGGAGAATGAAACTGTTGAATAATTTGAGGGATCATTGATTGAGGAATGAGGAATGAGGGTGAACTTGAGTAATCAGTACATGAACATTATTGGTGTAGTACATTAGGCCCATGCCCCATATTGACGGTTTTTTTATAGTTTTTTCTAATTTAATATTCTAGTTATTACTTATTCAAATTGTTCAATTATAATGTAAATGAAAGTTGCAGCTTTCAATATGAGAATACCAGCTTTGGTCCCGGTCATCCCGGTCAAATCCCGGTCAAATCCCGGTCATCCTGGTCAAATCCCGGTCAAATTGGATTGTTGGTCCCGGTCCCGGTCCCTGTAAGATAGAAATCCCAGAAATTATTGGTCCCGGTCCCGGTCACGGTAAATTGATAATCTCAGTCCCGGTCCCGGTCCCGGTCAAGTCACATTTTGTATCCCGGTCCCGGTCCCGGTCCCGGTCCCGGTCAGGCCTAAAATCATGTCCCGGTCACCTCCTGATCATAAGAAGTACAAATTATCATTTAACTAAGAATTAAACTCACTGCACATGGATTCTACCTCCCTTGAAAAGGCTAACCCGGAATAGCTCCTGCTGTGAAGTAGCGAAAGAGAAGAGACCAGTAGCGAAGCTAGTGTTCAACTCTTGAGACAGTGCAAACTTGATACATATACTGAATCTGAGGATAGTTTGTGTTACCGAGTAGTATAAATTGAATAAAACGTATTATTATCACACTTTCGAGCCAAATATGGCAGGACAACAGAGTAGATAATATAGTACTACCTTAGGGAGCACTGGTGACAGTAGATCTCAGAGGGATTGAGGGAGTTAGAATGAGTATATCTATACATAAGTTGTCAAGAGACATATAAGTATATACCCTTTACGATGTTAACTTTTCGAGTTAATGGCGGAAAACCAATTTATCGTGCTTTTGGAAGATCACAAGAAGCATAGGAGAAAGAGGTTGGTTGCTTGGGTTGCTTTAGCTGGATTGATGGACTCGTAGTGAATACTGAATAAGTGAGGCGGCAGACTTGTGTCTTGTGTAGGCCACGATTACCTTGCTAGAAAGGCCACACTCTGATAACGTTTTGGCTGTAAGGAGAAGGCTAATCTCCTCGGCTGTGAGCCCATTACCTGTTTTGGGCCCTTGTACTCCCCCCTCAGACCGGAGTTTCTTAAAAGCACATTTCAGCTGGTCTGTAACCTGGCTACAGATCTGTTTGCTGAAATCCATGCCGGTTGGTTTTAAATGACGTTTTAAGCTAGATACCAGAAGGTTTGTAAAGATACTGGCTCGTAGGCCGCACCTTTTTCAGTTCGAATCCCGATTGCGAAGTTCTTCATTGTTGTAACAAGTTCTTCCTTAGATAGCTCAATTACAGTTTTCTTCCAAAACGAAGGATCTTCTCCACTATTGCGAAGATGTGCTAAAGAAGGAATATAGAATGTTTGGTCTGACACATATAATGTAGGCAATGATAACTTTTTCAGTCTAGAGTTATTAATTGTTCTCCTTCCGGCTTCCGTTGACTTTTGAGTGGAGCGGGAGCGGTTATTTTTTGTCTGACTGATGAACTTGTGGATTATTGTGAAGGGTAGGTTTTGGCGAAACACATTATCAATATCAGTTAAAACTTAGTTACAACCTTTCATCTAGAACAATGACTACATTTCATCTATTGGTATTATTATTAGTACTGTAATAATTGTTTATTGTAACAGGTCCATAATAATTTATTATAACGGGCCCGTTATATGTTGTTTGATCATTGTTTGGTATCTGTTGTGGTGGTGTGAGGACAGGTGTTGCAGGACATTGTAGGCTATTGTGCGGCAGTGGAGATGTGAAACTGAAGGACGTATTATTAAGAGTGGCTGCTAGTGTTGGGGAGCTGATAGCGGGAGGATGCTGATTAGGAGGAGAAGGACTATTAAATGCTGCCGGTGGAGATATAGGAGGAATAGCATAGGTAGGAGAGTCTTGAGGGGAGGACGGTGCAGTAGTGACAGGTGAGGGGGGAGGGGCCGGAAGTGCAGGTTGGACAGTTACTTTGTCAGGTGCAGCTTGTTGGAGACTTGCCAAGAGTATAGGATCTCCTATCCTGACTGTTTGACAACATTTTTTAGAAGCTCGGAACATCGGGTCATGAAGGGTAGTTCCTAACAATAAAGATGGTGGTTGGTCGCGTTCCCTTTTTTTGAGAGGATGTTTGTTTTTCGGTGGTAAGGGTGATTGAACAAACTTAGATCTCTTTGAGGAAGTTGGTTGAATAACAGAGAGCGGTCTTCTTTTGTTTGACTGTTGAACTTGTGTACTATTATAGTGAACGGTAGGTTTAGGTGAACTTATTAGGACTGGTGGAGCTTCTGGAAGATCATATGATGCGTCGCTCAAAAGTAGTAGGTTTGTTGCTTGTGTTGCCTTTGCTGAGTTGATGGAGTCATAGTGTACAATGCAAGTGATGCAGCAGATTTGTGCCTTGTGTAGGCCATTATTACCTTGCTGGAAGGGCCCCCCTCTGATTGAGTGCTCGCCGCGTGTTTTTTCGGATGGATGTATTCAGTATTGGTTATCCTCCTTCGATCAACCGACAAACCGCTGGCGGTCACCATGTCTTTACGATATTGGACAGTGTGTTTTGTCCCATTCGTGTAGAAATGTACCACGCTTCCTTATGAGCTGTGGTGTTACAGCTCAGCAATAACGGGAACTCAGGTGTTTTCATAGCTGCAGGACGCTTGGGGGTACAGCGTAAGCAGCTCAGGATCGGCTGGTTAAAAGCAAAGCCAGACGATTTGAGATATCTTTTATCTCGAGGTAATTTTATCTGAGATCATCGATCTTGACGAAAGGCGGAGGAAGGTTCAGTCCGGTGAAACTGGACCGCGGGAAGTGTGTCCTAGGGTCGTCTTTCCTGTCCATGCTCAGACGAGCAGGAGAATGTAGTTCCCGGAAGTGTGTCCGGAAGGCTATTGTCTTCTGTCACCTCAGTAAGTGTGTCCTGGGTGACAGGGGTCAGGCTGAAGGGAGGTACCCCGGGAAGTGTGTCCCAGGGTTAAAGAGGAGAGGTGGCGAGTTAGGGATCACACCCGGGAAAGATCCGATCTACCAAGAAGTGTGTTGATCGTGGAGTCATACTGATTACTGATAGGTTAAATGAGTTTAGTGACATTAGTAGTCACTCAATAGCAGCAAGTAAATCAAAAGAGCGGCAAAATCCCCGGCAAAATCCCCGTTACAAAATAATTAGGTCCCACGGTCCCACGGATGTAGATAACCTTATCTTCAGTCATGTGGAGTACTCTGATAAGCTCGTATGGAGAGGCACGTGACATATGTGTACCTATCAGAACGCAGGGTCGTTATTAGCCCTCCTCTACGAATTGTGATTGGCTCGCCTGACACCACGTGTTAAATCGAGTAACGACTCCCAGGGTCACGCTAAAAAGGGGAGATAAATAAGAATTTTAACTTTTCAACATCCGTACCCTTAAAATGATATATTTAACAACCAATATCCATTTTAACCCTTGTTAAGAAATGTCAGATGTACAATGGATTACAGAAGACAATAAACAAATAAGTGAACTTACTCTTTATGATAGAGAAGAGTTGGGAAGATCACGGCGGAGCCGGAAGAAAGGATCTCAAAAACAGGGTTATGAAACTCAGCAGGAAGGGTCTCTATTCCGTACGGGTACACGAACTGGTCTAGGAAATCCCTGGTAACGTTGTAGAACTTTTCCTTGTCATAACATCCTGTGGATGCGAGATAAATGTCACATGAGGGTTAGTGTGAGAAGTACATACTACAGTATTAATAAAGATATTTATATGGCGGCAACCTGACAGTTATTTCTTACTCTTAGTGTTCTCCGCGACCCTATGCTATGGTTTGTGCGGATACGAAAAATAAGTTCTAATTCTATCAAATATGTTCTAGATGAATCGTGGCGGGGTTATGTTTTCCATTGTTATTTAATCGAACAATTATTCAAACTTTTCTCACTTACCCTTGCGTTTACTCGTTTTAGCGATCCTAGTGATGCACTCAATCTTGTAGTCAATGACTGCAGTTCTGCTTGTTTCGTTTGTCAAGACCTCCCGCTGCCATGGGGTGGACAGAAGGCATTCCTCAGGATGGCAAACTGATAAAAATTAAAAAGTGGGAATATTTTGTGATGCCATGAAGTTTTATGCATCTAAAGTTTGAACAATGACTCCACCACCATCCAAAAAAGGATATATAACTTTAAAGTTGTGATTTTTTTTAAAATCATAGTCACTCTAAACTTCCCTTGATAAATACTAAAGTCTAGATAACAACATTTTCGAGCCGAAATGTTTTACTAAATTTCGGCTAAATGTTTTGTATTACTAACTATCATTTCCTTCGGATAAATATCTTTTAATACATTCTGTAATAAACTTAAATCATTAAAAACTATCAAATCATCTTGGTAACGAAATGTGTCTTTTAATCTTTTGAGATTTTTTGTTCTATCAAAAGTTTAGTATATTTATATTCGTATACAATACACATGTAAATAAACATAGGCTATTTGTGGTGCTGCATTGGTACCCATTAAAAATGATTATTTTGTTATTGATAATAATGAACCTATTTTAGATTTTCTTAGTCACGATAATACCAAGAAGGGTTTAAAGTCTGTCAGTATCAGTACGTATGATTTTTCTACTTTTATAAGATAGCCTGATGATTGTTGAATTTTGAAGTGTTATTTAACACGTTCAATGTACATGTTAACTGTAAGGTTGTATGCGCACATTGCGTTAGCTCGGATTGAAAGTGGGTACGTGTGAAACAAAACTCACGTCTCCATAGTCCATGTTATTAAATAAAATGATCGAATAAAATAATAAAATAAAAAAACTTGCATATCATGATTTATTAAGTGACAAATAATTTGATTTGATACGACAGATGATCACACGCACTGTTTTATAAGCTACTTGTGTCGGATTAACGATTAGTGGGCAGTGCAGAGTCGATAGTATAGTGCTCTGTATCAGTATAGTGCTCTGTTTGAAGTTAAAACAAATAAAAATAAATGAGCCCATGTCTTATCTGCACCTGCTAGCGTTACCAATATGACAGTGAATGGGCAGTGAAAAATGTGGCATATGGTTGATAGTGACTAGCATATGGTTGATAGTGACAGTGTGCTAATCGTCTAGTTTTACTTATTCCTTAGGTTATTCTCGGTAGTTGATTTGTTGAGTGCCTGATCTTGTCGATTTACGTAGCTCGGGTAAATTATGTAACAATTATGGCCATTCTTCATTGTTTCCTGAGCTTTGTAGTTCTATCATTACACGCTTTGCTGATTTCTTATAAATGCTTATTGAGAAAATGCTAGATGGGCAAGATGTGCGACTGATGTTGAGCTCGAGAGTTCATGAATCCGAGATTTTGGAAACATGTGACAGAATTGTGACCGATTTGGAAACATGCCCTTGTAGCCGTTATTCTGCCTGAACTGACTTGGAATCGATCTGGTATGGTAGAGGGACATGTGTACTAACATTTCTAACCACTCAGAAGTGCGAAATATTGCCCACACATGTCCCTCTACCATCCTTTCGTTCATTCCATGAATCAGGGCAATATTTCGCACTTCTGAGTGGTTAGAAATGTTAGTACACATGTCCCTCTATCATACAAGATCGATTCCAAATCAGTCCAGGCAGAATTACGGCTACAAGGGCATGTTTCCAAATCGGTCACAATACAAATGTTTCCACAATACAAATGTTTCCACGATCTCAACTACTCTGAAACCAAAATGGAAACATTACCCCAGAGCCCTTTTTTAACATGCTAGACCCACCAAACTTCCCAGGGACACTTATGGTATCAAAGTATCAAAACCAATCGATCCCAATCGGTTTCAGCTCAGTCCAGGGCATTCTGAGACAATGTTCATTTTTTGTTCATTCCATTCATTTCATGAATCAGGGAAATATTTCACAGGAGGCTTAAAATGTTAGTACTCATGCCAATTGCCACTGTATCATACCAGGGCAAATCCAACTCAGTTCACGGACATAAACAGCCAAAAATATGTTTATAAATCTGTCACAAATGTTTCCACGAACTCGGATTCATCTTCTGGAGCTCGGTGGTAGCTAATATAGAACCTTAACAGAGAACACTAGCGCGTGGATCCGGTAGAGTACGTTGTTAGCCAGTTGATATTGTCGTCATAAGACGTGCCATACTTTGGTATAAATAACATATATATGAATAACAATTTATCAAACTTCAAAAAACCAAACGTCCTACCTCTTCGACAAGGTCGTTGTTCCGACAGATCAGTAGGAGAAGTTTCGGAACAGTTGTCTCGAATATCATGAAAACCACGGCACCTAAACACATCCATACCGTAATTATTTGTACACCCACTAACTCCAAGACTGCCTGAAAAAGGAAACTTGTTTATGTTACACCAATTTGATAAGTGTTAGTTTTACAGTTAGATGGAACAGTATGATCTCTCATTCAGTTATCAAATTAGTACTCGACGCTATCAAATTAGTACTCGACGCGAATTTAGCAAATACAAATATGGAGACAACAGACATAAGCTTTGAGAGTAACTACTGAATGTCACCGTCAATAAACATGATAAATGTCGCAGGAACCACAAAAGGTTTTAAGCCAACTCTAGCCATTTTATAGAGGGCGAAAAAGCAGCGATTTATTTTTAATCGAAAATTTCCGTATGTTGCGAAGGATAGTGTTCCCCGATATGCCCAGTTCAATATTCAGGCGAGACTGTGAGTTATGCTTATCGATTTATCGCACAAAATTGTCAAATAAACATAGAAGAAAATGAACAAGAAAATCGGCGATACGTAAACCAAGTTTCTATTTAGTTTATATTTGATGTAACGGATCTAAGTAATTGCGGACATAGGTCATTGTGTGTTGACCGTGTTTGGGTGCCCATCATATTTTACAGCTGGAGCAATATTTTCCAACAGTTCCGAATTCATGATAATTTATTGCAGTACTCTGAAAAATTCGAAAGGAAATTTAAATAAAAAGTCTTCACTTACCCCAGAGTAATACCACAATGACAATGGCATACACACGTACTAGACCAACTTCACATGAAGCAGTCCTCATATCTACTAATAATACTACGATAAGAGTTCAAAAGCAATATATATCAATTATCATTATCACAGATTATTATTCAGGTTTAATTTTATTTCAAGTGGTTCCATGGTTACTGCAGCTGCCTACTGTATGTTTTTTTAACTGCGCACATGTACCAAGATAGTAAATTATATTAATTGTTACCGAGTGAATGGTAGTGTACAGACAATAAACGAAAAAGTGAGCCGAGAGGTTAAAATCAATATTATTAAGTTAAGCAACAACTCAACGGTAACTCGGGATCTCATTATCAGACTTTTGATTAACTTTAACACTTACACTTAAAGTCAAACACGGCGTTCGGTTAAACCTTTTCAATTACAATTCTATGGTACGAATTTACGTTCAATTGACGCAGTTGAATGTTAGAATTTCGAATAATCAATCCAAAACAAACAATTAGATGATAAAAGCAACATGAGAGTTGTATTAGACCCCAGCCAGACGGTACGTGACACATTTCAAAAGCAGATCAAGGTGGATTACTGATACCGACGACTGTACCAGTGACTGTACTTCCGAGGACGGTCGTAAATGATACCACAGCTGTGTAGACCACGCTCACTATATAATTATTATTAATTCATCCAACGCGACTGCCGAATGCCAAATACGCTCCGATTAATCGATACACGCAGCTATCTGGGCATTAGTCGAGTTGTCAGCGCGCCGCGCGTCTAATAAATTAAACATTAAATCACTCGTCTAAATTATTTTTTTATAGTGCTAAATTTATTTATCATACAGGGTGGGCCAAAAGTCAGTACCCAAACGTTGGGTCTTATAATACCTCCGCCGTGTTTTATATTTGAGAGTTGCTGCTTTGCAGATGGCATACTGTACCTACTACTTGTTTGAGGATTCCGTCACCAAAATTTGAAAATTAGATTTTTGGGGGCCACACCCAATCAACATTGAATTGCTTATACTGGTGTTTTTAAACATGTTATAATATAGACTCCGTTGTAACATATTGCAATAGGTCATTTAATCCGGAATATGATCTGAAAAGATGGTGCGAAACGGATTTAAAATGACGAAGTTATCAAGCAATTTGTATATCTCGTTAGCAAAATTGATTGTGTAATCACTAATCAATAATTCCCAAGTACGGCACCGTAATTGGGCTCTCTACATGATTCCCATAATAAATAATGCGGATCTAGCCTCGACCCAATTACCTGATCACACGTAATGAACAAACTCGTTATTCTTTATATCTCGGTCATCTGAGAAGCTAGAACTCTCATTTTTTCAGGACAAACGTAATTTAAATGGCCAAACACTATTCAATAAAATTTGGCTTGATCCGACTATCCAAACTATCAAATAAATGCAAAAAAGAACCTTCATTTGAAAAAAAATGAACACGAATATTTTTCGATTCGACAAATTCCTCGAACCAGTGGTGGTAGTAAGTCATACCAGAAAGAATTATTTCAATTGGGCACTCAGTGATTGAGCTATTAAGGCCAACATATGGGTACTGACTTTTGGCCCACCCTGTATATTATTATTATGTGAAGTGATTTTGGTTAGACCGTTTTGTTTGGCATCGAAACCGTAAATGAGTATGCCACGTGAGCAAAATTAATTTTAGAGCCACCCACTGCTCACGTTGAAGGATAATTCCTTTAATTTCTAGGTCGTATTTTGAATGCATTTTTGCTATTATTAATTATTTAATAACTATTCAACTAGTAGAATTCGAATTATAAACGTAATCGAAGTTGATTACATTTTTGTCAACGGTTTGATAAACATTGATAGAAAGCTGATTGCTGAAGAGTGTGAAAATAAAACATCGTCTTTATAATGAAGAGCTGAATATTTAATTAACAATTACCAATAATATTTACATTAAAATTCAAAAGTAAACAAATCTATTAGTCTTGTATCAGAACAAAACAGCAGAAAGTTTGAAAGTATCAGAGCAATATTTAATATTTTTAACATAATGTAGTTTTTATGAAATAAATAAGAAATAAACAATTGTCCCGTTGTAACAATTCTTAGCAATCATGAACTACTTTCAATATGTTGAGTATCTTCCTATCTATTAATAGCACTACGTAGTATGAACATCCCAATCACAATACATATGATATATACACATTACCCAGCAGAATAAGTACTAGGCACAAAAACTTGATGAAAGTAAATCAATCCCGAAGTTTTGCTCATATTTTTAGAGCCACTCTGACCAGGTTGATTTGAAATAGGGCCAAAGCGTGTTATTTTTGTGGCTGCTCATCGGTCTTTAGCAATAGAGCAAAATTGCATTGACCGTGGGATAAACTTAAAGCGATCTCGTTAAATCAGTATTTAAATCAATATTTTTAGAAACCTTTTTTCTGTAACAGAATCTCTTAAGATTCGAAAAACAAGTTATGTTGAACTTATTAGATGAAAAATAATTCGTTGAAATTAAATCCTGTTAAAATAAATGATAATTAATCGCCTCACATCATTGGTCGGCGATACTTAACACGTTTACGAGTCTTAACAAAGTCTTAACAAAGTGTCCCACATAAAGCAGACGAATTGGCACATCTTGAAGCTCGGTAGCCTCAGGAGGACAGCTACAGCTAGTTACCATTAACCATGAATTCAATTTAAGTTGCTATATATAATGGTACATGAACCCAACATATCAGTGTCTCAATTTGATAGATATGTCTCCGAAGTAAGTTTCCTCGTCTTGGCTCGTGTGGATGTGGTTGAATTTCTTCAGCACTGGAGGAATGTCTTAATGTCAGCAATGAAAATATGTAAAAACAAATTCACAGCATCAAGTTGATAGTTCTAAAGAAATCCGTTAACAAGTTAAGTTAGGTTCGGTTATAAAAGACGTGTGAATTTACCCAGCAATTGATAGAATGCGAGAGCCGCAGTTTTCCTCGTGTGAGTCCGGGGTACCAACTTCTCAAAGGTGATCGAATCTTCGTTTTCAGAGAATTTTCGTTTCACAAACCTAAATAAGAGGGTCAATACACATTACAGTGGGAGACAACTGACAGTCAAACACTTGAGACGGTATGTAAACATTCGATAATCGATTTATCTTAACGCGCTCTACACGCACGACATGACATAACAATGGAAAACATAGCGCGCGCAGCGGGTATTTATGTTGCGCTAATTGGTTGAAATGTACTTTGTAAATCATTTTGCTAGATTTTATTCCCGCCAAAATAGTGCAGTAGATGAATCCATAAATTTGGAACATGGGTACATCGCAGTATTGGCCGTATTTGAGTGCTCGGGAGGCTCAGTTCGGTTTTCTAAGATGGATATAGCCGTAAGCTATGCCTAGGAGCCATCAAAAGTCGCATAAAATTACCCATGGAATGACCAGAAATGAACGAAAATGAACATTCTTCTCAAAGTGCTCCGAATGGTTTAAAATGGGTCGGAAAGTGTTAACATTGGACCTAGGACCACTCAAACCAAGTTTGGGAATCACTGCATGTCTACAACCGATGTTACCTATGTTCCAAAATGTTCCAATTTTGGGACAATAATCCTCCTGAGAATCCAGATTTTTGGAACATGGGCACATCGAAGTATTGGCTGTATTTAAGTGCTGGGAAGCCTCAATTCGGTTTTCTAAGATGGATATAGGTAAAAACTAGGCCTAAGAGCCATCAAAACTCAAATAACATTACCCAGGTTCATGGAATGAACGAAAATGAACAAAAATGAATATTGTCCTAAAAATGCTCAGAACGGTTTAAAATTGGTCGGAAAGTGTTTATATTGGTCCTGCGACCACTCAAACCAAGTTTGGGAATCACTGCATGTCTAGAACCGATGTGACCTATGTTCCAAAATGTTCCAATTTTGGGACAATAATCCTCCTGAGAATCCAGATTTTTGGAACATGGGCACATCGAAGTATTGGCTGTATTTAAGTGCTGGGAAGCCTCAATTCGGTTTTCTAAGATGGATATAGGTAAAAACTAGGCCTAAGAGCCATCAAAACTCAAATAACATTACCCAGGTTCATGGAATGAACGAAAATGAACAAAAATGAATATTGTCCTAAAAATGCTCAGAACGGTTTAAAATTGGTCGGAAAGTGTTTATATTGGTCCTATGACCACTCAAACCAAGTTTGGGAATCACTGCATGTCTAGAACCGATGTTACCTATGTTCCAAAATGTTCCAATTTTGGGACAATAATCCTCCTGAGAATCCAGATTTTTGGAACATGGGCACATCGAAGTATTGGCTGTATTTAAGTGCTGGGAAGCCTCAATTCGGTTTTCTAAGATGGATATAGGTAAAAACTAGGCCTAAGAGCCATCAAAACTCAAATAACATTACGCAGGTTCATGGAATGAACGAAAATGAACAAAAATGAATATTGTCCTTAAAATACTCAGAACGGTTAAAAATTGGTCGGAAATTGTTTATATTGGTCCTGGGACCACTCAAACCAAGTTTGGGAATCACTGCATGTCTAGAACCGATGTTACCTATGTTCCAAAATGTTCCAATTTTGGGACAATAATCCTCCTGAGAATCCAGATTTTTGGAACATGGGCACATCGAAGTATTGGCTGTATTTAAGTGCTGGGAAGCCTCAATTCGGTTTTCTAAGATGGATATAGGTAAAGACTAGGCCTAAGAGCCATCAAAACTCAAATAACATTACCCAGGTTCATGGAATGAACGAAAATGAACAAAAATGAATATTGTCCTAAAAATGCTCAGAACGGTTTAAAATTGGTCGGAAAGTGTTTATATTGGTCCTGGGACCACTCAAACCAAGTTTGGGAATCACTGCATGTCTAGAACCGATGTTACCTATGTTCCAAAATGTTCCAATTTTGGGACAATAATCCTCCTGAGAATCCAGATTTTTGGAACATGGGCACATCGAAGTATTGGCTGTATTTAAGTGCTGGGAAGCCTCAATTCGGTTTTCTAAGATGGATATAGGTAAAAACTAGGCCTAAGAGCCATCAAAACTCAAATAACATTACCCAGGTTCATGGAATGAACGAAAATGAACAAAAATGAATATTGTCCTAAAAATGCTCAGAACGGTTTAAAATTGGTCGGAAAGTGTTTATATTGGTCCTGGGACCACTCAAACCAAGTTTGGGAATCACTGCATGTCTAGAACCGATGTTACCTATGTTCCAAAATTTTCCAATTTTGGGACAATAATCCTCCTGAGAATCCAGATTTTTGGAACATGGGCACATCGAAGTATTGGCTGTATTTAAGTGCTGGGAAGCCTCAATTCGAATTTTCTAAGATGGATATAGGTAAAAACTAGGCCTAAGAGCCATCAAAACTCAAATAACATTACCCAGGTTCATGTAATGAACGAAAATGAACAAAAATGAATATTGTCCTAAAAATGCTCAGAACGGTTTAAAATTGGTCGGAAAGTGTTTATATTGGTCCTAGGACCACTCAAACCAAGTTTGGGAATCACTGCATGTCTAGAACCGATGTTACCTATGTTCCAAAATGTTCCAATTTTGGGACAACAATCCTCCTGAGAATCCAGATTTTTGGAACATGGGCACATCGAAGTATTGGCTGTATTTAAGTGCTGGGAAGCATTTATATCAAAATATTGGAGGATTATTAAAACAAAAATATTTGCCCAATAAAATAATTTCTGTTTAATTGTACATAATTCTGAATGCAACTTTAAGACCCTGTTGGACGACAATATTGACTCTTTGCCACCATTTTTTAACCATTCTGAGTGCTTTGAGGAAAATTTTCATGTTCGTTGTTCATTCCATAAACTTGGGTAATATTATTCGACTTTTGATGGCTCCTCTATAAGGCCTAGTTTTTTATATCCATCTTAGAAAACCGAATTGAGGCTTCCCAGCACTTCGATGTCCCCATGTTCCAAAAATCTGGATTCTCAGGAGGATTATTGTGACAACATTGGTAACATCGGGTCTAGACATGAAGTGATTCCCAAACTTTCCGACCAATTTTAAACCGTTCTGAGCATTTTTAGGACAATATTCATTTTTTGTTCATTTTCGTTCATTCCATGAACCTGGGTAATGTTATTTGAGTTTTGATGGCTCTTAGGCTTAGTTTTTACCTATATCCATCTTAGAAAACCGAATTGAGGCTTCCCAGCACTTAAATACAGCCAATACTTCGATGTGCCCATGTTCCAAAAATCTGGATTCTCAGGAGGATTATTGTCCCAAAATTGGAACATTTTGGAACATTGGTAACATCGGTTCTAGACATGCAGTGATTCCCAAACTTGCTTTGGGTGGTCCTAGGACCAATATAAACACTTTCCGACCAATTTTAAACCGTTCTGAGCATTTTAAGGACAATATTCATTTTTGTTCATTTTCGTTCATTCCATGAACCTGGGTAATGTTATTTGAGTTTTGATGGCTCTTAGGCCTAATTTTTACCTATATCCATCTTAGAAAACCGAATTGAGGCTTCCCAGCACTTAAATACAGCCAATACTTCGATGTGCCCATGTTCCAAAAATCTGGATTCTCAGGAGGATTATTGTCCCAAAATTGGAACATTTTGGAACATAGGTAACATCGGTTCTAGACATGCAGTGATTCCCAAACTTGGTTTGAGTGGTCATAGGACCAATATAAACACTTTCCGACCAATTTTAAACCGTTCTGAGCATTTTTAGGACAATATTCATTTTTGTTCATTTTCGTTCATTACATGAACCTGTGTAATGTTATCTGAGTTTTGATGGCTCTTAGGCCTAGTTTTTACCTATATCCATCTAGAAAACCGAATTGAGGCTTCCCAGCACTTAAATACAGCCAATACTTCGATGTGCCCATGTTCCAAAAATCTGGATTCTCAGGAGGATTATTGTCCCAAAATTGGAACATTTTGGAACATAGGTCACATCGGTTCTAGACATGCAGTGATTCCCAAACTTGGTTTGAGTGGTCATAGGACCAATATAAACACTTTTCGACCAATTTTAAACCGTTCTGAGCATTTTTAGGACAATATTCATTTTTGTTCATTTTCGTTCATTCCATGAACCTGGGTAATGTTATTTGAGTTTTGATGGCTCTTAGGCCTAGTCTTTACCTATATCCATCTTAGAAAACCGAATTGAGGCTTCCCAGCACTTAAATACAGCCAATACTTCGATGTGCCCATGTTCCAAAAATCTGGATTCTCAGGAGGATTATTGTCCCAAAATTGGAACATTTTGGAACATAGGTCACATCGGTTCTAGACATGCAGTGATTCCCAAACTTGGTTTGAGTGGTCATAGGACCAATATAAACACTTTCCGACCAATTTTAAACCGTTCTGAGCATTTTTAGGACAATATTCATTTTTGTTCATTTTCGTTCATTCCATGAACCTGGGTAATGTTATTTGAGTTTTGATGGCTCTTAGGCCTAGTCTTTACCTATATCCATCTTAGAAAACCGAATTGAGGCTTCCCAGCACTTAAATACAGCCAATACTTCGATGTGCCCATGTTCCAAAAATCTGGATTCTCAGGAGGATTATTGTCCCAAAATTGGAACATTTTGGAACATAGGTCACATCGGTTCTAGACATGCAGTGATTCCCAAACTTGGTTTGAGTGGTCATAGGACCAATATAAACACTTTCCGACCAATTTTAAACCGTTCTGAGCATTTTTAGGACAATATTCATTTTTGTTCATTTTCGTTCATTCCATGAACCTGGGTAATGTTATTTGAGTTTTGATGGCTCTTAGGCCTAGTCTTTACCTATATCCATCTTAGAAAACCGAATTGAGGCTTCCCAGCACTTAAATACAGCCAATACTTCGATGTGCCCATGTTCCAAAAATCTGGATTCTCAGGAGGATTATTGTCCCAAAATTGGAACATTTTGGAACATAGGTAACATCGGTTCTAGACATGCAGTGATTCCCAAACTTGGTTTGAGTGGTCATAGGACCAATATAAACACTTTCCGACCAATTTTAAACCGTTCTGAGCATTTTTAGGACAATATTCATTTTTGTTCATTTTCGTTCATTCCATGAACCTGGGTAATGTTATTTGAGTTTTGATGGCTCTTAGGCCTAGTTTTTACCTATATCCATCATTTACAATTATTTTTGGCACTATTTAGAGCTTATTAGGGCAAATAAATGCATGGGACACTTTTGGGACAATTTTGGGACATGTTCCAAAAATGTTCCAAAAATGTTCCAAAAATCTGGATTCATCAACTCAAATAGTGCATACCACTTTGCACACCTCAGATGATTACAAAGTTAATTGTTATCGGGCAGGACCGGGCAGGTTGAGCCATTAGATCATTTATCGTCAAGCAAAAAATTGAAACAAGCCACGCACAAGAAAAATGATAATAAACTGTCTGCATCACTTACCCGTAAAACTTCTGGCTTTCTCGGTCTGGAAAATATTGGAAAGTGGACATGTTTTCACCGGCAATGGTCTCCTCCTGAGGAACGCCCGACAATCTCTCGATAAGAGGTGTTTTTGGTTTTTCGGGGCTCAAAGCCCGCATTTCGACCTCTCTTACTGGAGTTAAGCCTCCTTCGGTCATCTGAAAGGAGTACAATGATAGATTTTATTGATTTTCACACACAATTCACATAAGTTTCAAAACTTGCTAACAATTATGACACCCTCCTGATCCTCCACTTAAGACTTATAGCCAAATCTATTCTCAATTACTTATTCAAGACTACAAACCTCGATATTATCGGTCTGTTGACCGAACATAGTTGAAGAATCCTGGAAGATATCCGAGCTCATATCGGGAAGATCAGAGAGCTGAGGCAAATCCGGTTGCGGTAGGTCACTCAGATTACCCTGGATTGTGGGCTCCTGGAATATTATTAAGTAAATTCCTGGGATATTATTTTTAAATGTATCTAAAAAAAGTGTTTTAGGGCTGTTATCAAAAGTTATTCAATAACAGTTATTATACTGTTATCTTAACCAGGATGCCACAGATAAGTTCACTTTAAAAGAATTTGCCTCAGGGGTGACTTACTGATAGTCATGAACAGATAAAATGCTATCTTGGAATGTAAGGAGATAAGTGTGAAGTATTTTGATTATCATTGTTTTAGAGCAACAAGAGGAACATATTTGTATGGTTTATCGACTGCTAATAAACTGTTCAGGATGTGGTAAAAATTTGTTTAAACACGTGACAGCGATTAACCAATCAGCTACTCAATTAAAGTCAACCGTACAAATAAACTAGCTCCACTTTTATAAAGAAATACATCAGTAAACCAACCTCCATAATGGGCAGTAGCTCCTGAGGATCAAGTTGTATCTCACTCTCCTCAAAGTTTTCAAGCTGCTGGATGGGCGATAACATGGGACCCACCATTCCGCTTCCTGAAACATTACATGTAACTTACATAAACATAACTTAAATACCTTACATAAATTACGTAATAGTACCACTCTCATTGCATCATTTTCTTATTATGACCAAAGCGTAAAACGGTAAAGTTAGTCAATGATTAAATTGTTTAAGATAACAATCACTAACCTCGTTGGGGTTTGAGGACAGTACTGGTTCTGAAGCCTGCAGCTGTGAAGGCATCCGAGTCTCTCGATACATTTCCTGAAACAATTAGTCAATTAGTTAACTATCCATTTTCTAAATTTGATTTTGTATAAGGTTACCGGTAGTTCTAAGCCCTATGGTATATTACTTATACGGCCTAACGGCCGGCTATGCAGAAATTCCAGGTTTCATTTTAAACAAAAATTCCCTAACAACAATTTTCATTTTTAACCAAAAATTCCCTTCATTAAAAGATAATTATCGATCGGATAGTTACCGAGGAAAACCAGTAACCGTGGAATATTTGGTCGAGCGAGTGAAATATTATGGTATTTGTACGGTGAGCTTGATAGGCGAACCAAACAAATAGGGGTAGAATTACTTGGCGACTCAACGATTGTTTGTGACATATTTTCGATTAATTCTGGCCAAATTAATGAGCACAGCAGTAGCACTACAGCAAGACTCTACCTGTTAATATCTTAAGTCAGTGGTTATATCTGCCAGAGAGCGAGCAATCCTGTTACAAAATTTGAAGATTTGAATTAACCAAAAGAAAATTCAGTTTATCTAAGTCTAAGTACTTCCCCAAGCTTATTGCAAGTTCTGTGCCACTATTAACTGTCATGTCAACTGCCTTTAATTTCCTGTCCTGTGACCTGTCCCACATTGCTACTCCAGACGACACCAGCTAACGAGTTTTGAATTTATTTGACTGGAGGCGGGGAATAAAACTTATTTTTTGACAGGCTCCAATACTTATTATAATCTATTCCTTAGAGCGCTAGTAGAATTCATTATATAAGTTATTCCCAAGAATCCTGGCATTTATTGAAGCTCTTACCCGTGCTGTCAAGTCTCGTCAAATCACCCTGAGAAAATTATATAATTAGTAAATAATAAAATTAATCAGATGATTTAATTGCTACTAAAATACGAATGGATTATATTTGGAATATTGAGCTGCGTTTAGCGCTAAAAACAGTCATTTTACAATGGCTAACAAAAAAGAGGATCAATTGAAATACAAACCTCAAACTCGCTGATGTCCTGCAAGGTGCTATTTCCTCCGAACCTGGCAATTTCCACGTCTGATAGGACAGAAGATCGTGGTCGTTTCCTTGAAGTCTCTCCCGTAATGTCAATGTTTTCGGCATCTGCCGTATCCCCTTGTACAATGGGTTGGGACATGTCGGCACTGAAAATTGTTATGTTACTTTTAAAGTTTTAAGTTTCTGGACGTTTTTAAAATCGTTAATACACACAAAAAAAGCTATAATTAGCTATTCCTCTTATCTTAACAGAGAGGAATGGTAATGTCGATATCAAATTCTTCAAACAAAATCAGGATCAATTTATCCTTTTAAACGCTAAAAATATTTCGTACAACACTATTATTTTGGAAATATTGCGCGATACCAATCATTTAACTCGGCCCGTAACGTCATTTAGATGAAAGCCGATCAAATCCCGTCGATATATTCCCTACAAAATGCTTCTCATAAACACATTACAGTTGATGTCTCGCCGAAAAAGTTTTCCGGTAGCGACTACTATACCGGAAAACTGTTAAACTTTCAAGATAAGTTAGCGTATGAGCTTCAAGGAGATAAGATTCAACATAATATCCTACGTATAATATTACTGGCTCTGTAGTTTGGTGAACGCTTCTCAGACGCTCAGTTGATAGTTAAAAGGTGTATTTTGAGTCAGGTTATTAAGCTATGGAAGATGTTTATCCTCGTGAGCATCCAACATGTTATTCAGATAACGGGGGGGGGGGGGGGGGGGGGGGGGGGGGGGGGGATCAAGTGCCGGACATCACGTTGGTGGGTGGGTCATTTTTTCTCCCAAAAACACAGTTAGTACATGGTACTAACTGGTGGGTCTACTGCCCATTTTCCAGAAAAACAGTTAGTACATGGTACTAAAGGGGGTTCTAACCCCAAAACATAGGAGCAGATTTCGTTTTGAGGTGAACTTTTAAGTTCCCGAGAAATTTTCTTAAGTTTGCTTTTTTTTCCTCCTCGGGCACATTCGTAACCTACGGGCCAGGTAAACCTAAACTACATATTGACCGTTATGTACGTCGGTATCTGTTGAGGAGCCAAATCATCTGAAAAGCCCTAAACCTATATTTTGCTCAGGCACGTAGCCAGGATTTTTCTTTGGGGGGGGGGGGGGGGGCTGTCGGCGAGCGAAGCTGCAAGCTGTGGCAGGGGTCTGGGGGCGCGGCCCCCAGCGGGGTCCAGGTAAGGGGCGGACCCCATTGGCGGGGGCTAGGGGGGCGCAGCCCCCCGGAAAAATTTTGCGAAATAGGGTGTTTTAGGCTAAATTGAAAGTTTAATGAATTTACAAAAATGTATAGTTTGGCATAATCATTGCCTACAATCCTGACCTGAGTAATTTACCCCTTTGAGACTTTATATTGGGTTGAAAATTGAGTTTATCGAGAGGAAGTGAAAAATCTCTGGTTCAAATTTGGATTTGAAGCCATGTTTAATTTTTTCTGTTGAGGTCAATTTTTTGCGCAGAAAGCGTCCGATTTTAGGGGAAAAAATTTATGTTTGCTTTTAATTTTTATGGTGCCGACGGCACCTGAAATCGACGAAATCTGCAGGGGTGCCCCAAAAAAACCCATTTTACCTCAAATTTCAATTTTGGGAATGGGTTTTGAGGTTTTTTTAAAGTTTTTTTTTGGGTTTTTTTTTATTTTTGAAATTTTGTAAATTTCTGTGTGGGTATCTTATTCTATATACCAAAAAACAGTTAGTAGCACGATTTTTCGACAGTTAGTACCGCAAAAGGCGGCAAAAGGGGTGGGTGTCTTACGTATTATCCAAAAAAACAGTTAGTACCGCAAAGGAGGTGGGTGTGTCTAGTGAAAAATATCCAAAACTACACTTAGTCGACGTGATGTAAGACACTTGGAACCCGATCTCCCCCCCCCCCCCCCCCCCCCCCGAGATAACCAACTCACTCTATTTCTAGCTGACGTTCCAACATCTCGGTAAGATCATGATCGCCAGTATGAGCACATCGCCCCCAGAGCTTCATTAGTTCTGGTACTTTCTTAAGGTAACTCCGGTGTGGCTCGTTGAACAGCTCTTCTGGAGTGGGTCTTATCTGAGGAGGAGATAATTATGAATAAGAGTTAATTAATAATTAAGGTAATTATAATTAATAATTAAGGTTATAATTAATGATTAAGATAAAGATTAGGATAATAGTAGTATCGGACATTAAAACGTTGATGTGTTTATTGACTGCGCATAGATGGATTTCTGAATAATATGTTTAAAAGTTAGATAACACCCCAATCTGCTACATTTAAATTCTATTGATTGGTAAATTATTGGTTTCAATAGTTTAAGTTACGTATATAAACAAGAGAAACGCCATTTTCGGACGTGAGGAGAGTTAGGACTCCTCCAACTATATTATGATAGTTATTAGTTTATATTATACACTATGTATAGGGATTATAAAAACTTAATTAAATATGAGGTTTTTTGGCGAAACAGTGGTTCAAAGGGGAATTTTAAGACAAGTTATTTAAGCTATCAAACTTATTGCATTCTTGATAACTGACAAGTGAAGGTCTTGCCCTAGAATGCCGCCACAAACGAAAATTACTTCCTCAATCATTTACATACGACCTTTGCTCAAGTCAAGTTTATTCTATAAATAGACTTGTGGTCGTGGTATGCAAATGATTGATCGTCATCTACCAAGAATCCAACAGTGATTATCACCTGCCAGCCAAGTATTTACATCTGCTTGGGTGGCTGGCGGACATAATTATTACTTACTTTTTAACGACCTACTGTTACTTTACTGAAGATTGTAATTAAAATATTGATGGCATTCCGGAAACTTCCGACTGCGATGTAATCTCAGCTGCTTAAATTATTTCCTCGAACTGTTTCCTTACAAAATGAGACGATTTGTCGCAATTCAATTAATCCTATAACTAATATTATGCAAACTGTAAGAGTTGACAAGAATCTTATAAAATATCAATGGTTACAAATCCTTCGCTTATAAAATAAGACCCTTGTAATTGTCCCAAATATGCACTCTAGTGCATTTTAACAATGGTACTCTTAATTAACAATGATCTTAAATGCACTTCTATGCGGCACCGGGCAGTGTCTCCGCCGCGCGGCACTCTTGTGTCCCACTTCAAGGTCCATATTTATGTTTTACCTTTTTTCAATTTACTTATATATAATTACATATTATGTACAAATATTGAATGTATTAACTGTACATATAATGCAATTCCAAGGGGAAAAGTTTCAAGTGACAGCTTTCCAATTAACCGCACAATTCCCATTATCAAGGACCCACGACCCACACCCCTCAGCAGTAAACACCCACATAAATATCTAATTGATATATTATCGAGAAACGAACCTTGTGGACCAGAACAGGATCAGTGCAAAGGGCTTGTCGAGAATTCTTCATAAACTTCTTCATTTCCTTGACAGATAACTGGTTCTTCTTATCGACTACTAGCTGTCTCTTTCGCTTCCTCTTTGTGGGTGCGTCTTTTGGAGTTGCAAGTTGGGGGAGGATAAATGAATTCGTTGCGTCAAATGCCTGAAAGTTTTGTCGGTAAGCTATGATGATTGTAGGTCAAGCCCTCAGCTAGATCTTGAGAATGCTACTAGTTGAGTGGCTGGACACTATCATTCATTCCTAAGTTACCAATCGAATCATGATCTATCAACTCAAGAGAGCGAATAAAATTACAAGTATGAAGTAATATAAGAAAAAACTTAAAAAACCCCCACAGCTTTCCTCACCTTTTCTTGAGCTAATCTTAGAGGTTTCTTCGTGGCTCTCTGTGACCGTCTGATTGCGTTAGGATCCCTATTTTCTTTATCTGGGTCCTCCTCGACCAACGTTTCGTCGTTACCTTTACCTGCATTCTCTAGGTTGTCAATATTTCCAGCATTTTCGATGTTCTCAACATTCTCAGTACGCTCAATACTGATAGGGGGAAGACTGGACTGATCCAAGTTTTCCTTAACCGAGGCATCCAAGAGTGGCGCCTGATTTTCTTTGTTTGTCTCGTCAAAATGAAGGGAAACTGGTGGTTCATTTTCTTTGTTCATCTCATTTAGGATCGGATCTGTCTGGATACCTAAATACAACATTTCAAAAAGGAGAACCATTATTTGATTTCATAACCATTTGATAACATAGCTTGTTTTATTTATTTAAATATGTATATGATAATAGTATTTATATATTATGCAGATTTCATATTGATATCTTATTATTCACAATTCATGGACTTAGGTTACATTAAAACTATGATAATTATCAATTATAATTTATAATGATTAATAATATACTAACGAGAGGAGAGCTCTTTAAGGATCATATCTCCGATATCAGCCTGGGGTGGTTCCATCGCTCTAGTGCTGTCGTCTTGACCAAACATAGTTGAATCAGTTGCTCCTAGGAAGATGAAAGGATTACTACTACAGCTGTTAGAATTATTGATGTAAAAACAAATTAGTAAAAATTCATTAATTTGTTCATTGATTAATTTGATTATCAATCTATTTATTTGATATTTTATTTTATTTGTTTATTCATTTGTTCATTTAGTTGTTTATTTATTTGTATATAATACATTTACTGTTTTTTATTCACTTATTTAAAAATCTATTATTTATTTATCAATTATCCATATCAATCCATCTATTTATTTATCTATTAGATTATTCAAAATTACTTAGAATAAGATTAGATGTGTGTTACAACTGACCTAATTAATTAACAAATTAAGGTATGCTATCAATTGTCAGGATGGGGCAGTAAAAAATTGTCTGAGACCTCTCCAACATACGACACAATTTAAAAACTCAAAAATCTAGCAAAGCTAAAATGTTAACGTTTCTCTCGGAGGACCGACAAATATCGCACAACTTGATCAGTGACTGACGCAGATAGCCGTTTAAAATGAACCACAAAATGCAACTCATTTTGAGGGAGCCTCATATTTTTGTGACAAATTAGGGCGCACTGTCGCGTCGTAGGCAACTATTTAACCAGCTCATTTGAGCATCTTAGCATCTAATACTAAGATATATTGCGCTATTTAAGTTGCATTACTGCACTTCGTTGGTTTATTTTACTAACGTCAATGAATTGAAGTAAATTAGTACGGACAAAAATATAATTTTAAAACTAAAAGTTGAATCCGAAAAATTTAGCAACCGTCAGAATTTGATAGAAAGTCTGGAGATTATGCTCTAACGAGAGAGCTAGAGAGAGAGCTTTAAAGGACCAGTTAACTCAAAAAAAGTTATCCTCATATTTTGATAGATTGTGACAAATAGCAAACTAAGCAACGAGTCGAAATTCCTAAATCTCTAACTGCTCTCTAACGCGTGTAAATAGCGTTTGTATTATTTTGGCGATGACGTCATAAAGTCCCTTGCACGCGCAGAGGAGCTCGTGAGACTGTGTTTTACAGGTAGAAAATGGACATAATACACTGTTTCTTCCCCAAATAACTCGAAAAGTAAGTATTTTAGGGTACATGTTGCATTATAAGTTGTATATAATAAACATAGCCATTCTGAACAATTTGCACTCATTCAAAAATTTTTAGGGCCTTCATAGCCCAATTTACCAGATACCCATATTTTTGCATGATTTCTGGAACCGAAAAAAAAATGTCTCAGACCGTTCATTCATACCTTTGGGAAGGCCAAGGTCTGTGCAAAGTTTCGAGTATCTGAAAATTTGCAGGTTCATTTCCATAAATGTCCATAAATGTCCATAAATGTCCATAAATGTCCATAAATGACTGGACTACACAACTTTAGAGTTAACTTTAGAGAAACTCTTAAGTCATTTATCTAAAATTAAGCTGTTAGTGTCCATGACATGATCAACCTATGGCGACAATGTTTTACGTGAAATGTAAAAATCAGGAGTAATATAAAAAGTGTATGTTAAGATTAAAGTGCTAGCTCATAGTTTAAGAATTGTATAGATTAACGTTTGTTGTTTAGCCATCTAAGAATCGATCGTGCCGTAATATATGGCCAAAGAATAGGCCTAGGGTCTTGGAAATTCTATAGTTGTTCAGTGGGTCGATTGACTGAACACGTTTGCACTTAGTATTTAATTTTACCAGTAGTTTATTCATGTTATGTATCGATGATAATGCAATTAGGATAACAACTAGGTAAGCCGTAAGTCTAATTCAAAACACACCGCACACTCCAATCAGTATTTGGAAGCCCGGGTATTTTGGCGGGAATTCTGTTCCCACGGCACCCTTCTGATAGAAGCTACTTCTACTAATGGTCCCAGAGAAACGGCCGTAAAATAGCCAGACTTCTTGTCTCCTGTACTGGCTGGCACGTGCGGATTAAAGTTAGAAATTTCGCTATGCTATAAATATATAAATGCTCTCGGAACAAACTCTTAGTTATCTAGATCCTTTCTAAATTCGTTAGAGTTTCTAAATTCGTTAGAGTTTAATTCCCCAGTTAATGGACTGGGGAAAAAATAATCGGTACAGTCTCCCTGCGTGTGTAATGAAGCAATGAAAACAATCCAAAATTATCACATATGACATAACTTGTAATAGCAGAAACTTTCTAACCGTACATTCACCCGCCACTGTTCAAGAACTTATTACTTATGTCACTGTTTAAAATCCTGACGTGAGCACTGTACATTTAATCAGCTATTCCTTTAGTTAGGGTGATAGCCAAAACTATAAGGATTTTGGAGAACTATACTAGGGAAATAGTCATAATTCAATAATGTGAGTGAGTTACACGTGTTTTATTGTCGATGATAAACATTCGCAATGTATTACGCTATGCAAGCGCGCACTGAGGGACTTTATGACGTCACGAGGCCACAGCTTATTATTGCAATAACACGCGTTACACGTACGCTAGAGAGTTGGTTCTTTCGGCGATACGATTTTTACCAGTTTGTCACAGCTGATTTAAATCTTAGCCAAATTGGCTAATACAAATTCTTGAGTTAACTGGTCCTTTAATCAGAATACTAAGCCCTAATGATTACATGATGTAATGTAAACAATAAACAGATTGTAATGTAAACAGCTATCTCACCTTGAAGACCGAGTAGAGGGTTTTCTATATTGCTTTCCTCAGTTACCGGGTCAAGTGTGGTTAAACCCAGCTCACTGGGCTGATCCTCCTGGATGGGATCTACTGATAACATGCCCGAGTCGTATCCTGCTCCGAACATGCTGGCACCTTCTGTCGTCATTTCTGAGAGATTGAGACAAGTTAGGATCGGTTATAATTGGTTAACTGAATAAAATGCTATGTAGTTAGTATTTATATAAAATAACAAAATAGCCATTTATAAGTTTTGAAACTGAGAGACAAATAATGATAAGAATATAGGGAATATAATGGCTTAGAGAAAAAGCACGGAGAATGATAACGGACTGTACTACTAATTCTTATTATTAAATATCGGGTACTTTAAATTGAAGCAGCTGACCGGTACGTCTTAAATTAACAGTCCAGACATAGTTACCAGTTACATGGTAACTATTTATATGGCTAATAAATAAAAGCTCTAAAATCAGGTTCAAAAACCGCGACATTTCGAATGATTTATAATACAAACCACCAAAAAAATTGTCAAATTGGGAAATAAACAGAAACGTAAGGTTGACAAAGCTAACCAAGATCGGAAGTTTGGAGTTGGGAGCACTGAGCAAACTTTTCGTTGAGCTGATCCTCAGAAATGTTCAACAGATCGCTCTCAATCTGGCCGTCGAATTCCTCGACGCCTGGGACCTGTCAAACAAGATAATTGTTAGATTGCTTCCTATCATGAGCTATCAAGCCTGAGCTGATAAACCAGAATTTAATTAAAATTCGTCGTGGATATGTTTTAACTTAGCTTGAATATGGTCATGTTAAAATATCTTAATTATGGTTTGTCACTTTGAAATGAATTTGTTATGACAGAAAATGCGTAGGTACTTATTTCAAAATGTCAACAGTCGGATAAGATTCCCACTTAGCTTAGCTACTTTCAAAGATTCTCGCAAGCGCACGTGCTAATAATGCTGGTGGAATTATTATTGATAAAATGCAGGCTCGATTATACAATGTGTCAGGAAATGTTCATCCCCAGTTTTACCTCGATCGGCATAATAGGAGCTTTCTCCTTGATCTTGAGAGGGGTATGGGGATCTTCTATGATGTCTAAGAAACTGTCTTTACTGATTTTACGTCGTTTGGCGGGCGACTCCTCTCTTATTGATCCCATCGTGTTCTCTGTTACATTATGAGTTTGATAATTAGAGCAAAGTAAAGTAAATTTACATTGATTTCATTAAAATTAAATAACATGATATCACTTAGTTATTGATCCATCATTTATCAAATTATAAATATAATTAATAAACGTATTTAAAGACAAATAAAGTTTTCCTCAGTTTTTACACAGCATAATAGACTAAAATCATTAATCAATTCGTACAATTTTGGAATCAATCAATAGCAAATTACACATACCGTATTCATTGTTGGTGATCTCCTGATCCCCGAATGAGATAGTAAAGTAAGCAGAATCAGCTCTGCTTTCATGTGTTGGTTTTGCTCCCTGGCCCTCGAACAGGGCCTTCTCACCAAGAGAAGTATAAAACCTGATGTCACTCTGTTCGTTACCCATTTCTTTGTCGTAGTGGTAGAGAGGGTTGGGAAGAGCAAACGTCTCGCTCCTGTACAGAAAGGGATGGTTTTTTAAATGAGGTGTATGAAAATTAAAAGACAAAAATTGTGAGGCTCAAGATAATATACTCAATACTACACCTATGTAAATATATTTTGGTTTATTTTACCAGCGTCAAAGGATTAACATAAAATAAATAAAAATTACCTTTGTGTTGGGAGTTCCACATTTTCTGGTCTCATGAAGGATCCTTTCTTGAGAAATATCCACATTGACTTCACTTCATCTGAAATATGAAAAAGTGAAATACGAATGTTAAGTGAGCAATCACTGTAAAATAAGAATGTGTATGATCAATCAATTTTGAACTGAAATTTACTCTTAACAAATTCAAAAACTTCTCAAAATATTTTAACATACCATATACAATTGTGATTTGTTTTTCGTAGACTCTGATGATACCCATTAGCAGAGTCGATGACAACCTCAGAGCAAACTGTGTACGTGGATTGAGCATGTCACCACTGAAATAATAAGTGTTATATGTTGAAATTAAAATGGTGTATCATTTAATTATATCATGGAATGATCAATTCCAAGTGGTTTAAAATTCCAATCTAATTATCAAACCAATCAAATGAACATAAATGTACCATGCTTTGACGACGTCAACAGAAACATAATCACTTTTCTTCAACCCCAGTCGTCTAGAGCCATGAACTGTGTTGAAGTTACCAACAAGCCACACCACAGCAAACTGTCCTCCTTTCTTAGTAAGTATCTCATTCGAAAAGAACATGACTGTGAGGGGATTGTATATTTAAAATATATCTATAATATTCCTATGAGATTCCTTGAATCCCAGTATAGTATATTAAGGAAAACAAAATTATTTATTATACCCTATTATAAATTAGTATAGTTTATTATTATTATTATTATTAAATCTAAAATAGCTAATAATTTAATAAATTATTAACAGGCCCCTTAACGTGGGCAATAATATACGCTTTTTAAATTATATAAACAAATTGCAGTCTATTTTTCCAATGTTGTTAAGTGTCTCTTTAGATCTGTTTTGGTGTTTTGTGGGAGTTCCCACATTTGTTGGTTGAGAATGCTCAACATAACATACATGATGCTTGACTGCTTTATTGACCCGGACAGGCACCGGGGGCAGACATCCCAACACCAGTGCGTTGGGACATAGTGTTGGTCTGCTTCAGGACGTGTTAGGTCCTAGAGAAGCCGCCATCCCCTCTACTGCTTTAGCTCAGCGGCAGCATGAGCCCTGGTTTCCTGCCACATTGGTACCTCTGAAAGTACAGAAAAGTGGTGGATTTCGGGGTCCAGGATCCTCCCTCTTTAATCGTTACGGTGGTGTTATTTCTCTGAGATGTTTGCAGAGTCTTTATTTTATGATCTTTCTAGTTTAGTTGGATAAATCCTGGAGAGCATCATTTTGTCCCCAAAGAAATTCGACTCTTCTAATGAATGCTTTTTGTGTGCTGCTTTTTGTTAACACTTCATCTAGATAGGAATGTGAGTCAGCCCCACCCAGCTCTTCTTTTAGCTGCAGGTAACTGGTGTCTTGCACCTCCAGACACAATAGGAGCTGGTGTACAGGAGAATCATCGAAGCTGTTGCAGAAACGACAGGCCTCACCACTGTCACCACCCATGATCTTTTGGATATTCGCAAAGAGTGGTGAGCTGCCGTGAATGTAGTCCATTATTCGGCTGTCCAGATTTTTACTCGTGTTGTGCCCGAATAAGAAGTTGTTTTTGTCTAGGAGCAGCCCACTGTTTTTGATCTTTGTGATCACACCAAGTATCTTGGTCTCCTTGTTGTTACTGACAGTTCTGCATTGCAGATTTGTTTCGATGCTGTCAATCCAGATCTTATTTTTGTAGCTCATTATGTCTGCCTGAGTGTAATAGGCCAGATCCTTGAAATGTTGCTGCGTTAGGTCTATCATTCTGGTTCCGTGTGACTTATTTTCTTTCCAAAGGAAGTACTTTTTCAGTGACATTGTTAAGACATGAAAGCTTGGTATTCTGCTTTCGTCAACTTGGTAGAGTGTAGCTGAGAGATTGTCACCTTGTGTGAGTACTTTGCACATGAATTTAACCGAAAGAGCTTCGAGTTGCACATCCAGTGGTGGGAGGTGGAGAGCAAGTTCGGTTAATTCCCTTTGTGGATTCAGGACTGATCCAGATATTTTTAGAATGATTTTATTCCAGAAGCTTTTAAATTGATTGAGACACTTGTGAAGCCAAATAGGTGCTGCGTAGAACAGTTTAGTGAGGACCATTGTTTTAAGGAGGAGAGTGAGGCTGTAAACGTTTAGACCGTAGTTGCGGTTAGTTGATTTTGTTATTAATCCCCACTTTCTTTTGCATTCTTAAGTTTTTGAGACGCATGTTTCTTGAAATTGAGGTCTTCATCTACTATTACCCCAAGGACCTTTGTGCTTTGGACGTAGTTGATGCTTTTCCCATTAATACATAATTCTGCAGGTTTCTGTTCTTCAGTATAAGCTGCAGTTTTCAAGATTATGGCCTCCGTTTTATTCGTATCACAGTTCACTACTAGCTTGTTCTTGATGCACCACTTGCTGAGGTGGTCACAAACCATCTGCATTTTTTCATGGCATCCGGAGATGTTCTCGAAGGAAATCATAAGTGTACCGTCATCAGCAAATTTGTAGCAGCTTAGATATCTTTTACTTCTTCCGGGGTGTTGTGTGTCATGTCTGCTATGTATAGGATGAAGAGGAGAGGTGATAGTACAGCCCCCTGAGGTAATCCAAATATTGTACATTTTCTTTTTTCTCCTTTATAGTTGTTCACTTTTAGACATATCGTCCGGTTGAACAGGAAAATTTCTCAGCACGTTAAGAATATTTCCTTGAATACCGAGAGTTGATAGTTTGACACATAGTGATGGGAGATGAACACTATCAAATTGCCTTTTCGAAGTCCAGGAAAAGCACTATACATGCCAGCTTCTGTCTTTTAACTTCCTCAAGGTTAGCCAGCATTCTGAAAAGATATCGCGTTGTTGATCTCCCTCCAATGAAACCTTCTTGATCTTCATCAAGAGTTCCTTCAATGTCCAGGAAGAGTCTCAATCTTTTATCTAGCACTCTTTCACAAATCTTTCCAAAGTAGGATGATATGGAAATCGGTCTATAAGCACCAGGTAACATGTAGCTGGATTTTCCTTCTTTCCTTAGGAATGTTACATCTGAAGTTTTCCACAGCCATTTTCCTGTGCTCATACACCAGTTAAATATAATCTGCAAGACGTGAAGACAATTTGTTTTCATATGTTTGAGGATGGTAGGGTGAATATTGTCCTGCATCACATGATTTGTCATTTGTTTCTTGCCTTTCTATAGCTGCTTTTATCTCGTCCATAGAAATAGGGTTGTTCAGCGGATCATCTTCATTGTAACTACTTGCAGATTTGCTGCTAACATTCTGTAATTTACTGAACTCGTTATTTACATGCATGTCGTGCTCTCGGTCATTGGGTTGGTTTTGAAGGTGTTTTCCTGTGAAGAAAGTATTAAATAACAATTCCTCCTTATCTTTTTCAGATGTGACCAGCAAGTCACAGTCTTTGAGGTTGCAGATAAAATTGTCAGTTTTGGCCCCAAAAACTCGTTTATATTTTCTCCAGAATTGAGTGCAGTCTTTGGTGTTAAGTGTTTCAACTCTGTCACGAATCCATTCATTCTTTTCTTTAATCAGCGCTTTCTTGAATGATTCAGTGCTTTCAGTGAGTGTGGCCTTGTTTCTGGGAGTTGATCTTTGCTTAAATCTTTCTTTCGCTTCTAGAGCTTCATTAGATAGAGTTGTAAGTGCAGGACACCAATATGGTTTTGAATGAATGGATACTGTCTTCTGAGGGATGAACATTCGGTTAGCCTCCTGTATTTTATGTAATAACTGCTGCCATAGCTGATCCCCTCGGTTTAATAACTCTGGGGCCGAACGAAGATGTTGACAGTTGGTCTCCATTGCATTTGTCCATATTTTCCAGTCTGCATTTTTCCAGTCCATACACACTCTGGGGACAGTGTCTGATTTTGGGATCCCTCTGCAGATTTCTTGAAGCACCGGATAGTGACCTCTTCTTGGGGCACCTGAAAATAATTCAACATCTTTATCCATCCACTGATTTCCCAACTTTGAGATGATGGGGCCTTCGGCTAACACTAAGTCAATAACACTTCCTCCATTTGTACAGACAAATGTGCAGTCGTATGGTGAGCAGAGAGTTAGGGTTTCCTTTTCAACGTAGTCTAGAAGCTTCTTTCCTCGCTGCGTGGTAACATGATCTCCCCAGTCATGATGTCTTGCATTAAAGTCTCCATATGTGAGAAGAGAGTTGAATTTATATTTAGCCTTATATTCTCTTGCTTTATCAATGTGGGCAAGAAGTCCTTCAAATTTTCTTATGGAATCATTAGAGTTATTGCAAGGTTTGCAATAAACTGATCCCACCAAGTATCTCTTTCCTTCAACTTTTATTTGGCACCAAACCGCATCAACTTCGTCTACGTTAAGGTCATAGACCAACTCTGGATGTAGTGAAGGATCAATGACGAGTGCTACCCCAGCTGTCCCTTTATTTATGTCCCCAGCTTTATGAAATACCTTTTTATGAAGGAAACTTCCGTCTGATTGAGTCCAAGAGCTTGTTTCTTGAACCGCCATCAAGAGTATCTCATTTTCGTAGATAAACTTGTCAAGTGTCATCTCAGAGTTAGTTGACATCTTTGCTATATTTATTTGGCCAAAGATCATAATCTACTGTTGGGTTGTGTGGGTGATTTTGAACATTTGTTTGGTTGCATGTTGAGTTTCATGACAATATTTTGGTATGTTGGACAATCTCTGTTTGTAGCTACATGGCCAAAGACATCACAATTAATACAGTAGTCTCTTCGGTTACTCTTGCATTGATATGAGTGGTGATTGTCTCCACATTTGCTACATGTTGCATGGTTTTGGGTACAAAGTTTAGCAACATGGCCAAACCTGTAACAATTGTAGCATTGGATGATTCTCCTTCTCGGCTTATACTCTTCCGCAGTATAAATTACCTGTCCGAGCTTTAACCCATTTCCTAAGCATTTCTCATAGTCTTCCTTAGTCTGAAAGTTGATCTTAAGAGTTTTCAGAGAAATGTTGTCCCGTGTCACAAATCTTTTTGCCCTAGCTCCTGGATAACACCTTTCCACAGAAATTGTTAGATCACTATCCTGAATGTTTGTGGGTACTCCTTTGAGAATGACTGCCCAGCTTAGCTTTTCTAAGATCCTGCATTCTGTAGTCATGTTACTGTTTGCAAAGAAATCACCTTTCCATGATCCTTCTACTCTTATTGCATCCTCTTTAGATGTGAGCTCAATCATCAATGATCCACCTTTGGTGACAAATGTCGATTTTATGGCCATATCTTTAAAATATTTATTGAAGTTTTTCTTAATAGTTGCACTGTTTTTAAGATAATTTCTTGAGAGTCCTCTTGAGACTAGGACTGTCGTGGAGTCATTAACAGTGGTTTCTGATGGCTGGTGAATGTAGTATTGTTTGCCCTCATGTGTTTTATCTTCTGCTATGGTACTGAAAAGATCCAGGTTTGTGTGTCTTGTAGAAACACCTTGATGTCCAATTACAGTTCTCTTGAAGTCTACTCTGTTCATCTCTTTTAGGATGCTTTTATTTTCCTCCGTTATGTTATGCAGTGTGCGAAGTGCTTCATCCATGCCACTGTCAGCTTGTGGGTTTGAGGATACTTTGTTAATCAAGGGAACCCCCTTAGCTAATAAATTTCCCATATTCTCCGTTAAATTCCTCTTTAGATATTCAAAGTGTTTTGTTTCACTCTCTCGTAAGTCTTTCATTTCAGCCTTCATTTGTGACATATATCTTTCGATAGAGCAGATTGCGGAGTGTTGTGATGCTAATACATCAACTTGGTCACTCAGAGTTCTGTTGATGTGGACATTTTGTTCTGAACTACTGATATTTGAGTACGATGTCAATGGGTCAACCATCTCTTTACTACAAACTAGCCTATCTTGTGAGTCTACCTGAATATTTTTCTTCTTTCCCCCATCTCTTCTTTCAGGTGTTGAGGTTCGGATTGGACAACAAATTTTTTGCTGAACTGGAGGATTGAGGTCTGGTGTTTTGATTATAGACTCTTCTAGATGTGTGTTGGACTCAATGGGTCTCAAGGACAGACTGCTGCTGAAATCTCTGTCAGATTTGCTGCACAAGATAGAGAGGTTATCATATGTATCTGAAGCTGACAGATCTGAGATGTGTTCAGTTGGGGCCGAGTCATCTATGGAGGCACTATCATACAGCTGTTTATAGGGGTCAATTGTTGTTTGCGTGTCCATATCTTTTCTCACAACAGTTGTGTACTCCCCATCTTTTTTAGTCAACTCTGCGATTTTAGCTTTAACTTTTACGGAGGCTAGATCCAGATGTGGTTTAGTAGGCTTGGAGAGTCACATGAATTGCAAAGCCAATGCAAATTCTCAATTTTGCATATATTTTTATATGTGGAGTCTGCCATTGGCTTTTTCCTAGTTTCACCAGATCTTTTTGTTGTTGATGTTGTTGTTTGTGAATCATAACATTTGTAGTGTACTTTCAGTTCACAGTATCCGCATGTGAGCAACTCCTGTTTGCATTCCTTCTGGCAATGGCAGCATAGAATTCCAGAGTCCTCTTGGATGACATGCAAGTCTTTCTTTAATATGGACGGAACAAGTGAAAAATCTGATTCAAGATCGATCTCAAATGTGCTCGGTGTCCTCACAGCTACAGATGTAAGACTTGTCGTAATGAGTTGCTGATTTCCCACTTGATATTGGGTCCTGATTTTTGATTTGCAGAGTTATGTAAGGAGATTTTTGGATGTGGCTTTAAAAGGGTATGAGGTGGTGATTGCATCTTTGTGAAAAGAGTCTTGACTTGAGAGACATACTCTTTGTTCTCAGCAGACTTGACACAGGACCAGGAACAATCCAAGGGAGTTTTCATGCAAAAAAAAATGCAAAGAGTGCATAATCGAAGTTACTAGGAACTCCAAACTTTTAATTCAATAAAGTGAGACAGTAACACTAGTGGATGATAGAAACATGAACTTCAAACAAGGAATACAAATCAAGTCAGACAAAGCCTCCTGGAGTTTCTGCCATCCTGCAAATGGTATATAAGATTAACATCAGTCCTCTTTTAGTTTTTCTTTCTGTTTCTTCACGGTATCCGGCTTTATTAGGCGATCTTCACGGATACCAGAACATGTAGCAGGAGAACTTATTCGTTAGGCGTTGGCAGCTGTTTAGAAATGCTTCTTCTGTAGATCTTTATAAATCTTCTTTCTTCTGTGTATAAATGGCCATATGTGAATGATGATTAAATGAGATGGGTGTGATATGAGGATAGATTGTGCAATCCTCTCAACTAACTTAAAAGCCAGTGGTAATGAACCAAAACAAACAAATCAATACCAGCTCCACAAAGAGTTATGCAGGCTAAAAGGCTGCCTCATAAAGGAGGACTTCAGAGGGAGGTTAAACAGGTGTCTCAACTGACTAATATATATCCCCTTTTCTTTTTTTTTTTCTTTTTTTTTTCTTCTCAGTTATCCTAAACACAGTTCAGGTTACTGACCGGGACTTCGGATTTTTATATTATCATTTTACAACAACCCAGGGGAACCAGGCTATTGCCGGGACTTCGGTCTTTAAATTTTTTTTTTTTTTTTTTTTTTTTTTTTAAATTTTAGGTAAACATTTTAATAATCATAGCAAAACTAGTCAAGTAACTTAGTTTGCACTTTAAAAATCCCATGAAACTCACACGCACTGATTTTAAAAACTAATCTGCAAAAGTAAAAAATAAAGATTCTGACTCAAAACAAAAATGACATTAAAATGTATGAAAAAGCTAAAAATATAAACGATAAATCCATAAATAAAAAATAAATTCGATGTTCACTCTTTAAAAATACTAGTCCCTCTCAAACACATACGCAGACTTTGAGAACTAGGCCCTCTCTTAGTCAAAACATCAGCAGGCATCGTCCCTTGAGGGCATAAAGTTAACAGTTATTTCACCCTTCTCAACCATTTCCCTTAGTGATGCCATGGTAACTATCAGTCTTTTTTCAATGGGGTCCTTTGTCTTCTGTACAAGCTCTAGAAGTCCTTTATTGTCAATAAAACAGTCTATGGTCACATTTAAAGAATCTCCCAGTATTTGTTGTAGTGTTTGCTGAATAAAAATGGTGTGATCAGCCGCTTTCAGGAGTGCAAGGCTTTCAGCGGCTAAAGTACTGTAACAGACTCTGTCCAACTTTACAGATTTCCAACAGACAGGGTTTTTGACTCTACCATCTTTATCCGAAATAAGTATCAGATACCCACACTGACTACCATTGTTACTAAGATTTCCAAACGATGCATCACTGTATGTAAGTAGTCTTACTCCATTCTTTATGTTAGGCAGTTCTCTGAAGGTCAGTGGGGCATCTTCATCAGTTTTAAGCTTTTTGACTATCTTGTTGTGAAGCATTATGTCTGAGACGTTGGGATCTTTCAGATTATTGCTCAACTGACAAGCATCAAACGAAATATCTGGTCTGGTTTGGACAGATAACCAGATAAGTTGTCCAACACCTGATCTGTACTGTACATACTCTTCGTGAGTCAGAGCATGTGTTTTCTGGCTTCTTCTGTTACTTGATAGTCCTATGGTCTTTAAAGCACTGATATAATCTGACTGTCCAACAGTGATTTCATATGAGATTGGATCTTGCTCCACCTCAAGTCCAAGATATGTGAATCGCGATGCTTCCTGTGACTTAATCTCAAATCCATGCAGCACATCTTTGTGAATATTAGACTCAAAACCTTTGGTCCCTGCATAGATGAAGTCATCTACATGTACAGTCATTATTCCTGCAAGATCTTCTTTGTCAACTCTTGAAAAGAACAGAGCATCATCATATAAACATTTCTTTAAACCAGCTTGTTCACTGTGGTCTTTTACATTTCTGTACCACATCTTTGCAGCATCTGACAGTCCATAAACACATTTGTTCAGCTTCCACAGTATTCCTGGTTTATAGCATTCCTTTGGAGGGGTAAGATAAACTAGTCGCTCAATTGGTTTACCTTGTAGAAATGCTGAGGTTATATCAAGAGAATGAATAGGCCACTTCATTGATGCTGCTACTGTGAATAGAAGTCTTAGAGATTCTTTTCGACAAGTAGGACTGACTCTTTCGGTACTATCAAGAGGAATTTCTCAAAAACCTCGAGCTACCAAACGGGCCTTTTTCTTATGACCATTGTCATTTGTGACCCACCTTGTCGAAATGGGGACAAACTGATCATCTACTTCGTGAGCCTCAACCTCTTCATACACATTGTTTTGCTTCCATTTTTCGATTTCGTCAGTCTTCTGTGACTTATATGGGTCAGTGTTTAACACTTCGATACTGACCTTCTTCTTCTCATACTTTGACTTAGCTTTGCAGAACTTCTGCTCCTTTGTAGACATTGATTCCTCTACATTAGTTTCGTTGCTTTGTGGTATATTATCTGTGCTTACAGTATTATTATCATCCTCTTCAGCAGGAGCATTATCGAAAGCGTTCAACAGAACATCATTTTTCAGCATTTGAGTTGCATTGTAAAATTCTTCAACAGTGGGATTAGGCTCATCTGGTGGATCGGTCCCACTTACTTCGGAAACATCTTTTGAGTACAGTTCATTTACATTGACAACATGAATCCGATGGCATCGAACAATATACCCACCATGTCTTACAACTACAACTTTCTTGTCCACACCTATAACTGTTCCTGGTCCTCGCCATCGCTTATCATCATTTCTTTTGTAGTACACCATATCACCCGACTGTATCTCATCAGTGTACACTTCTCTAGTTTTGATCTAATGGCTCGTCTGATCATCTCACTAGCTTCGCTTTCCATCATTCTTTTTCGAGCACTGTAGATGGCAGAGATGTTCTTGGCAACAGTTTCACTTGGACTCTCATCTTCAACAATCGTTGGACTAGCATAGGGATCATCAATAGAAGTGAGAGATGGATTTTTGCCAAAGATTAACTGATATGGCGAGAAACCATTTACATTTGCCAAAGTGTTCTTGGCATGACAGGCCCATGCTAAAGCAACTTCAACTGAGCATTTAGTATCTTCCATGATCTTTATCATACTGTTAGACAAAAGTGCATGGTGCCGTTCTACAAGGGCATTGCTCCAAGGTGCTTCAGCACCAGTAGTGATGATATGAACGTTGAATTTCTCACAGAGGTCAACAAAACTTTTGTTAACATATTCCCCTCCATTGTCACTCATGAACTTCTTCGGTGGTCCAAAAGTGTTGATCCAGTGTGTAAAGACACTTTCCACAATGGTTTCCTTGTCTTTTGACCTGATAACTTTTGCAGCAGAGAATCTGGTTTTATGGTCAATCATGTGCTGGATGTAAATGTTTTTATTCTTGTCGTACACCTTAATATCCATGGCAACGGTATCATTGAAGTCTTTGGCTAAAGGCATACAGACTACTGGACGATTATTCGGTCGCTTGTATCTCTTGCACACATCACAGTTAGACGATACTGTGTCAATCTCTCGAGCAATTTCCTTGGTAAGCTGTCCTGCTGTTCTTAAGAGTGACTTTAACTTTTCAGGTGGGGGATGGGCGAATTGCTTATGTAGCTTAATCGCTATCTTTCTTTTGTCAGTACTTTCCATGGTCAGGTTTACAATTTCCTCTCCTGATTTACATAAGCAGACTTGTTGATGGATAGTATTCTTGCTCAGAGGGATGCTACAGTGTCCTGATTCATTGAAGATGATTTTCTGCTTTACACCAAAAGCCTTCACTGTGTCATCTCCAAAGTCCAATACCATTCTAGCATCTTTCATTGACTGTTTGCTAATCAGTAATGGAATCTGATCATCAACAACTTGTGCCACAATGTTCACCTGTTTGTCACATACAACGGCTGGGAATGTGCAGCATGTCCTTGACTTTGATGGTGCATTATCTCCAAATTTAAACGATACATGTTTCTCTTCATAGCACACCTTAATGAGATCTTCTGGAGACAGCGACTGAAGATAGACTTTCAACCATTCCTTTCCACAAACCGTTTTGTTGCATCCACTGTCAAGAACTGCTAACCCAAAGTTGTCACTGGTAAATTGGTCCATAACATTTGAGTTCTCTTCTTGGGCAGGAGCATTCATAAAGAGATTTACATTCTCACTCGTTACCTGATTTCCACTTTTGTTTATTCTGCGGCGTTCTGGACAATCTCTAGAAAAGTGGTAAATCGACTTGCAAACATTACAAGTAAAATGCCGCCCATATTTGTCTGTTGGGTTCATTTTTCTGTCACTTCTGACACCCGCAGCTACCTGATGTTGACTTTCCTGCTGTTGATTCTGTTGTCGGTATCCTCTGGCTCCTCTACCATTTCCTCTTCTAAAGCCATATCCCCGGTATCCTCTTCCCGAATAGCCACTTCTTCCTTGGCTGTAATATGCATGCTGCTCCATTTCCTGAGCATTCAGTACTTCATTTTCATTTTCGTATTCATCATACATATTAAACTGATTTTCAATACAGGAGTTACCAGTATAAAATGTAGAGTCTTCTTTAACTACACCAATCATTCTCTGGTGTGAACTTTCTGGATCTTTCATAGTTGTGATCTTCTTTATCGTTTCTTTCATGTTATTGTATGTTAAGTCGCCACACATAGTAATGGCAACAGAATACTTGTAATCACTAACATTACAACTTCTAAGTAATTCATACGCTAGAACAGGTTGTGGAAGCTTAATATCATGCTCTTCCATTCGTTTTACAACTTTTTCGAATGACGAAATAAACTCCTTGACATCTTGGCTTCCTTCCCGACTTAACTTTCTGAACATGTCATAAGTCTTGAACTTTTCCTTAGCCAAATCTTCAAGATAAATTCCATCAAGGACCTCCAGGAGGCAGTCTAATCCCGATGTCTTTACTTCAGCACCTTCTACTGTGTCTGTTCTGCCATTTTGTAATACTTCAAGTGGAACTTCCACTGCCTCAGACTTAGCCTTCTGAGGTAACATAAAAACAATACATCCTGCTTGACGCTTTTCTTCGATCAATGTGGTTGCCGACCACAATTTCACTTCTTTCTTGAACAAAAGATAAGAATCTCCTAACTTAGGGATAGGTGGTCCACTACTGTTCACTTGATTTTCCGACATTTCCTGCTATCACTTTTAATTCAATAAAGTGAGACAGTAACACTAGTGGATGATAGAAACATGAACTTCAAACAAGGAATACAAATCAAGTCAGACAAAGCCTCCTGGAGTTTCTGCCATCCTGCAAATGGTATATAAGATTAACACAAACTGCTGTTTGAACTCTATACCCGACTTCAGTTTAGTTGCCAGCCAGGTGTAGGGGTAAGAAAGTGCTCTTACTTTTGCATCAACAATGTTTTCAAGTCGTTCTTGGGCAACTGCAATCATCTGTGGGAGTGTTAAGGCCCACCATGGGACATCTGCTACATCGTGTAGTTTTTCTCCTATGTGCATCTGGTATAGCACTTTCTTTTTGTCTTCGAAGCTTAATGTTTTGCCAGAGTATGCAAGAACAATATCTTTAGGCAGGGCAATTTGGTGAGCAGTATCCGAAAGTTCAACAAAGGAGCAGAGAAAGTGCGACTGCCCGTCAAAGCAAAAAAGAACTTCTGAACTTGGACTCAATAGTTGGAGCTGGGTGTATATGTGACTTGTTTTTATACAGTTTGTGAGCATCTTTCTATTTGAGGCTGACACAACAATTGAATCAGAAGTCTCTAATAGGCTACAATACAAACTTTCGAGTTGGTTGTTTTTTGCAGTGTCAACTGTTGCAATTGACACAACCTTTGGTTTGTTAGGTTTCAGTTTAATAGACATCTTTGTGTGCCGTCACTAGAAACCAAACCAAGTAGAATTGTTACAGCCCAGAGCTTTTGTAAAACTAGCTTTAACTGTCACAATTCTATGATATCTGACTTGATAAATGTCTAGTCAGAGTAATGGGGTGTTAAGCTTTATTGACCTGGCTTAACTTTCCAGAAAGAGCTTTAAAAACGAGCTCTTGAAACAGGCAACACTTGGCTAAACTTTATTATAACTAGTTTTGTCAAGTGATTGTCCTTGTTAATGTCCAAGAATATCAATGTTTATACACTGTCCGTCGCGTTGTTAAACTGAATTCCAAATGTTTCCAAATTGATTAACAGTTTACAGTACCAAGTAGTAGGGAGTAGCTATTTTGTTCTCTTTGGACGTAGTCTGATTGTCTTTGCAGCCTTTGCTTTGCGCTCCGTTTAGAGATCGATTTCCCAACACCTGAAAGGATATGGGCACCAGAAAAGTGTGATAGGGATTGCCAGCAGTGCTGACAAAAGAGCTTTTCTGAGTTTAGATGAATGACAATGTATATGATCTCAGCTGTGAAACTCACCGTTTAGGTATGAGTTGGAATGGTTGCTGAGATGATTGAGTGAGGAACAAGAAAACTATTGTGTATTCTGCCAAACTTTAGTCATGCAACAAATCAAAATCAAATCAAAATATAATGACACAAACATCATCACACATCATCAAAAATATATCTACTAAAGTTTTAAAAATATCTTAAATCTATTGGCCTAAACAACCAAGATAAAATGAATCTAATTTACATACTTTCCACTACTATATAAGTTAATAAAGCGTTTCTTAGCAACATGAGGATGACACACAAGATATTCATTGTGCTTCTCTTTATTAGTAGCATAATTTAATCCCTCAATCTTTCCTAATACTTCGTCCGAAACATACCAAAAATGAATATCATTTACGGATCCGTTTAAAATAGTCTCTTTTTTGAAAGCCTCTAATCTTATTTTAAAACTTAACACAGTCCCACAATTCTTGACATCCGAGGGGAGTTTGTTCCAATATGGTCTCACCCTCTCCGGAAGAAAAGAACTTTGGACTTTCTTCATTTTACTGCTACTTTTACTGCATCTACTGTTTGATACCACATTAAGACCAGATCTGCTCATACTGAACAAACCATCTCCGTAGTTGGCCAAACCACTTATCATTTTAAAAGATTCAATGAGGTCCCCACGTATTCGCCGCTCTGCCAGCGTTGTCAAATTGAGGATTTCCAGTCGACGACTGTATGGAAGAGTACCCACCTCGTCAATCAGACGGGTAAACCGCCTCTGGACGCTCTCCAGCTCCAAGATGATCCCCCAACTTCCATGAGCCGCAACTGGACTCCACAATTGAACACAATACTCTAAATGGGGTCTTATTAAAGCTTTGTAAATGGATATCATCACAGATTTTTCCCTGATAATCAGATTTCTAACAATCCAACATATCATTCTGTTGGCTTTAGATATTGAAGCCTTAATCTGTTCATTCCAAAGCAGAGAGTTATGGGTTATAACTCCCAAGTCTTTTTCCTGTACAGATTCTGCCAATGTAACTCCATTAAGAGAATAACTTGATCTTGGGTTATCGTTAACATCTAAATGCATTACTGAACACTTAGTAGGATTAAACTTTAAAAGCCATTTACTCTCCCACATCTCTAGTTCGTTCAGATCATTAGCTATAGTTTCATGCTCGGAGGCATTAGCTATAAGCTTAAGATCATCAGCAAATATTTTAACTTTACTTTTAATGTTATCTGGTAAATCATTAATAAATAACACAAATAGTAATGGTCCAAGGACTGATCCCTGGGGAACTCCTGACCATACAATCTTCCACTCTGAAGTTTCACCTTCTACACACACTCTCATAGTTCTATTTGAGATAAAATCTGTAATTACATCTAGAACTTTACCAGTTATCCCTAGACTCTCTAGCTTGTTAATCAAGCGATAATGGGGAACAGAATCGAAAGCTTTACTAAAATCAAAATAAAATAAGTCCACAGGAGCACCTTCATCTATTAAATTAAGTATAGTGTCGAAAGTCTCCAAAAGATTTGACAAACAAGATTTTCCTTTAACAAACCCATGTTGGTCCTTTGAAATACGGTCTTCTAAAAATTCTAACACATGGGATCTAACAAACTGTTCATAAACTTTACAAAGAATACAAGTAAGAGAAACTGGTCTATAGTTAAGAGGGTCAGACTTAGAGCCCTTTTTAAAAAGTGCAACTACAGATGCCGACTTCCATACCTCCGGAAGATTTCCAGTATCACTACAGGCACTAAATAATTTAGTAAGAGCTGTTACAAAACTAGCATCTCCAGCTAGGGACTTAAGCAGCTTTGGATGATGCCCATCTGGGCCAGTGCTTTTAAAAATATTAAGCTTTAATAGTTCCTTTTTAACATTATCAAAGGTAATAACAATATCAGATATACTATTAGTATTCTTACTATAACTTCTAGGTAATGGGCCGAGTGGCTCATTAACAAACACAGAACTAAAGGCACTTGCAAGTACCTCTGCAGACTCCCCTGCACTAGTTGTCCTTGTACCGTCTTCCTTATCTAAACTTGGTACCGAAGCTTTAACCTTTCTCTTATTTCTCAAATAAGAATAAAATGATTTACAATTGATCTTTAAATTAGAAGTTATCTTCTTCTCATATCTTATCTTTGCTTTCACTTCCTCATTCTCATAGATGAGCTGTTTACTACTTGCATGACTAAGATTAACACTAGAAGGTTCAATATCAAATGCAGTCCATGCTTTATCTTTGTTCTTTCTCATGCGCTTCAATGAGGATGTGTCCCATGGCAGCTTCACAGGTCTGTTGTTTTTATAGACCGAATTAGTCGGTACTATCCCAGCAACAGTCGTAAGTTTGCCATGTAACTCATCCCACATAAGCTGAACATCATTAGAGCAACTAAAATCCCAGTTAATATTTTCAATACTAAACTTTAAAATATCATCATTAGTTATTTTACCCCATGATGGTTTCAGAATCTTCTCTTTACATTTAATTGAATCTACAGAAAACACTTAGATCGACTACCACACTGACATGATCACTTTTGCCAATCGGGGACAGCACTGTGCATTTATTAATAAGTGCATCATTGGTGGAAAGTACTTGATCCAGCAGACTCTCTTGGAGTCTATCCTTTACAACCCGCCGCCTAGTTATTTCAGTAGTAAAATACCAGGACAACCCTGCTTCGTTAAACATATCAATATAGATTTCTTGATTCAAGAATGACTTATTAGTGCTGACCAAACCTCCATTTACACAACCAGTCTCCCAAGAGACATCTGGTAAATTAAAGTCTCCTACCAGGAGTGTTTCAAAATCATTATTAACATTACAAATATTTTTAAGAAAAGAAATTAATTTTAAATTTTGGTCAGAATTTAAAGATGGTGATCTATAAATACATCCAATACAAAGTTTACCACTTGCAGTATCTATTAACACAGCTAAAGAATCAAGTGCATTACAACTTTCTTTTACTAATGATGAATTAATATAATTCTTAACATAAATGATGGACCCTCCTCCAGAACTAATATCCTTTTTAGAAGATTCAATTTTAAAGTCACGGTCTTTTCTAAAAATTGTGTAACCGTCAATTTGAACTTCAGCATCTAAAATATCATTATCAAAATGTGTCTCTGTGACACATATAATATCAATGTTCTTGTTTAGCATCAATAAACATTTTACTTCATCTATTTTGTTAAAGAATCCACTAGCATTAGTATACAATATGCTTATTCCTTTGCAACTGTAGCTTCCTTCTCTTCGATCTTCTGACTCTTCTCTGTGTTCTTCTGCTTTTTCCTCTTCTCTGCTTCCTCTCGTGCTTGAAAATTTGCCTTACGGTCAGCTCTGCACAAATCTTTGTTTATCCAATGACCACTCTTTGACCGGATTCCTCTCCCTCCATTCGTGTAGTACTTTACGTCTTCTATGTCATAGAGTTTGACAATAAGGGGCCTGCAGTACTCTGGTATGTCTTTATTGACTCTGCCAGCTCTAAAGCAGGACACAATGTCTCCCTTTTCCATCTCAAGTGAGTTGATGCAAAAGTCGATGTCTTCTTTTTCACGATCTTTGACACTGTTTTTGGTGCTTTCCGGTACCTTCAGGATGCAGACATTTTTCTTCTTTCTTTCTCTCTCCACCCTATCTGCATCAATGTTACGTTGTACCTGCTGGACAACTTCTTTGGTTGTTTCTGAACTTCTGAGATTTTTCAGAACAGTTTGTTGAGACTTAGCTGTAATATCTGAATAGAGACTAACAGCTTTTTTCACACTTTTGTCAGTGCTGTTGTTTAGAACTGTTTTTAAGGAGTTCGCCAAAGCTGGTGTGAACTTCTGGAGCTCTTCTTTGACAATAGCCCTGACAGCTCTCTGGTCATCAGTGTCCTTAACTGTGTGGGGTGCCACAAAGCAAATGGGACACTTCCAGTTAGTCAGATGTCCTAACATATCATCTGTCAACCCAGACAGGCCAACACAACTTGAATGCCAGAACAACTTACAGGCTTCACATTCCACAGATAACTCATCAGCCATAAAGATTTCACATGGGCAGTATTTTTCTTCTGCAGCAGGCGCAGAAACATCCTCAGCTGTTGACTTAGCTTTTGAGGGGCTTATCTTTACTTGTCGTTTCTTCTTTAGCGTCGGCGCCCTCTCGGGTACATTCTTTTCTTCCATCCCTGAACTCAAATTATTTGTTATATAGTAGTGTTGAAAGTATTAAAACAATCTGCAATTGTTGTTACATTCTATTGAGGTGTGATGTCCCACTAGGGGTCCTCAATAAATGTAATAGATTTGTAGTGTTGTAATTGGTTTAAAACCAGAAGTTTATAACTGCAAATTAAATCCTGACTAGATATTTTTATTATTAAATCTTAAATAGCTAATAATTTAATTAATTATTAGCAGGCCCCTTAACGTGACTAGATAAGGCAGATACACCTAACAAAAAGATATCCAAGAAAGATTAGCAGGTTTGAGGGGGGGGGGGGGGCCGGGGGCAACCATATTAAAGTATTTTATAATATAGGTTTTTTCCAGGTATAGTATCTATCTTTTTCCTAACATAGTATCTAGTACTATAGTTTTCCGTACATTACAATGTAAAATCGTAGAATATAGATGCACTGAAGAAGTGTACTATGAAGATTCGTGATATATTGGCAGAGACCCTCTTCATTTAACCCTCAATCACGCTTTTCTAATTATTTAGCTGACTCGGACCGTTTAGTAAATGAATTCTATTTTTGGAGTGTATTAAATGAGGTAATTACGAGAATTGGGGAATCAATTATGCTTGAAACAAGATGAAAATGTGTGGTTCAATCCCCATGTAAATTATATTGCTAAAAAAGGTTTCCTCAACCTGTATTAGTATAGTGGAAAATAAATAGTACTTCGGCTTACAGTGTACCACTGAAAGGTGCCTTCGGAAGATACAGGCTCCTGGCTCAGCCTGTCATTCCTGATACCTCCATATCTTCATTTGTTTATAAACAGTAAGCATAAGGTGAAATCGAAACTGTGAAAGAAATCTTATCCATAAAACAGTTAAGAGCAGCAAGGACACACTTGATGTAATCACTAAGAGTAAGATTAAGAACAGTGGCCTGATTCTAGACAAAAATAACTTGCTCCCGAGCCCTAAAAAAGTAAAGGTCATGGAGCAGAATACAAATAGTGGGCTATATCCACGGCAGCTCAGCATTCTTTGATTGCATCCGGAAGATCGTGGGTATGGACAAAAATAAAACCTGTCAAAAATAAAACCTGTCACTATTGACATAACAGGTTTATGGCAGTTTTCGTTCACATTTCCTCAGGGAAGCGTTTTCATACTACTGTAACATGAGGAATTTTGGAATAAGAGTAGAAAAATACGCCCAACATAAATTACCTGGGGCTATTATGTTCATAATAAAGATTCGGCGGAATGACAGGCTGAGCGCCGCCCAGTAAAACATAAAATGATATTGATTTCATATTGCATATGCTCATAGCATTTCTGTTTAATTGACGATGTCAATTCATGGCAGCTTGGCGCGGCACAGTAGCGCATCCCGCCGATCTAGCCAGAGAAGCCTCATTGAGTGCGCGGCGCGGCACAGTAACGCATCGCGCTACAAACATTTCTGTAAATATTTAAAATGCTTGGTGTGATTTAGTTGGATCAAACGAATAAAATGTGTTTGAAGGGAATGGAAATGTCATCACCAGGTAACAGAAAATTATGAAAGCGTGGCAATGTAACAGTTGCAGTTGAAGTTTCTTTTCGTGCATACCTAATCATCAAATGCAAATTCTGCATTAGTGGTGAGTTGAGTCATATTTTTGTACTCGGTATTGACTTGTCATACGTTGTGCGTTGTATGACCCGCCGCGCACGAAGTGCGCGGCTCCCCCTGTAGCGTCGAAGACGCTACAGTGAAGCGACCGTGGGGGTCACCACGTGATACAAGTATTGACAGCAATAAACCAATTAATAAATTTTCAGCATTGACAAGTCAAACTTAAAAAGTACTTTCTATATCATATTTCTTAACAAAATACACCCCCATTAAATAATTCGTTTATATTTGCCAAGGAAGTAGCTGTTTTGACGCGCACATAATCACGCTTGCTTCACTTCGAAGCAAAAGTACTAGCTAAAAAGAATTATAACTGAAATCGCTTTTAAAGAGATCAAAAGTAAAAATGTTAAAATTCGGATTTCTCCCTGAAGCCTGATTTACCAAGCGCAATATATATAAATTCCTTTGCGCGGCGCCCTTTTCGAGTATCTTCAGCTTCAATTGCATATAATAGAACAAAAAATTATTAGAAAATTGAAATAACAAATAAATTTAATAACAGCAAATAACAAATTGAATAGATTGTGGGTCACAATCAAAATACACAATAAAATTATCATTTAATTGACGATGTCAATCCGTCAAAATCGTTTCTCTGCGAAGCAGAGCAACGATCGACTAGTTCGCGCGTCGCGTCGCGTCGAAGCGGCGAAGTCCTCCAAAATTATTATCATATTTATAACAAGTCAATAAATTCTACTTTTGATTCTTAAATAATTACAACATTGCCAATATTTTTTAATCGTATTTGTAGTATAGCTTCATGGTTACAAAAACCATCATTCCATGCGCGGCGCGGCCAGCATGGTAGTACAGAGCGTTGATTCACGATGTCAATCCTTCGCATCTCGCCGATCTGCATACGAGTGGTTGCGAGAAGCATTATTTGATGCGCGCGCGACCCAGTAGTGCATCGCGCTACAATACAGAGCGCTATTACATATAAACAAATATTTGCAAGATCAAATATTGGCTCAGTAAAAAAAATTGATACATTGTACATGTTTCGTATCCCAAATATCGCGCGCGAAAAGTGGCATGCAATGTATGTCAATAAAAAATATTAAATAATTTTCTGCACTTACTAAGCAATTACCTCGCAAGCGTGCTAAAATATAAATCACTTTATAGTACAGTAAATTTCTTCGAGATTGTTCTAAAAGGGCCCCATACAGTCTTGTTGAAACCAACTTCAATCGATGTATTTTCGTACGCTGATTCCGAATCACCCCCATGACATAGGCAATGGGGTTAAAATGCTCCCCTGACGAGATATTGGCGAAAAACTGTCTCGATCACGTGATATGACCATTGACCGTATAGAGAAGTTAGCCTTACTAGCAGGAACCCGTCTAACCCTAAAGTGGTGTCAAGACTCGAGAGACTAAAATAATTATTACCTATTTAATTCGCGTTTTTGACACCACTTGAGAGTCCAAATTTTGGGCACTAAAATTATTATTCCTTGGCCAATTTTTTATTTTTTCATGCTGATTTGAAGGCCATTAAAGCATTTGACCCAGTCAAAAAAGTTTCAGTTGTATATGTTTTACGGTTTTTGCGGAAAGTCGCGTTAAAGTTGATGCCGTGGTGTCAGTAAAATGGCACGGATATATACACATATATATATCGTCTCGCTTTATATATAGTAAGATTGCATTGAAAATTATCGGCCTGCATCAATATTACCTTTATTTGGAAAAATCTTTGAGAAGATCATTTACAAACGCCTTTATAATTTCTTCACATCTAAAGGTGTACTAACAGACTCACAGTTTGGATTTAGAAAAGGCCATTCTACCACTCATGCTCTACACAAATCTATAGACTCCGTTACAAAGTCTCTGGCTAGCAATAAACATGTATTGGGCATATTCATTGACTTGAGCAAAGCCTTTGACACCCTTGATCACAATATTCTTCTAAGCAAGTTAAATTCCTACGGTATTAGGGGTTCAGCACTTACCTTACTTAAAAGCTATTTGACTAACAGAAAGCAGTATGTTATGTATAACGATGTACCATCAGTAACAATGGACGTGAAATTTGGAGTACCACAAGGGTCAATTCTTGGGCCACTACTCTTCCTACTGTATATGAACGATATAGTAAACTGTTTTTCAGACAGTGAGGTGAAATTTGTACTTTATGCTGATGACACTAATATCTTCATATCAGGACCATCTAGAGAAGCAACATATAAAAAAGCCAACTTAGTACTTAAACATGTCTCGATTTACATGAAATGTAATCTACTTCATATCAACATGTCCAAATGCTGCTACATACATTTTAAACCTGCCTCTGAATATGATGACACCTGTGCGCGGACTAGACCATTTGCTAACCTGCTAGATGAATCTAGATCAATATTCATCGATGGTAAGGTTATCACTAAAGTCAAGGATACCAAATTCTTAGGTGTTGTTATAGATAGTAAGCTAAACTGGATTGCCCACATGCACTACATCCGTAAAAAACTGAGGTCCATGACTGGTGCAATCTGTAGAATCCGGCACTCTATACCTGCTGAACTATACTTGAAAATATATAATGCTCTTTTTGAATCACATCTCAGTTATGGTATAAGTGTTTGGGGTGTTGTCATCAAGGAACGGTCCAATGACAGTCTTTTTATCACTCAGAAGCACTGTATAAGGATCCTTTTTGGTGATCTCGACTCATATCTAGATAAACAATCAACATGTGCAAGAACTAGACCATATGGTATGCAAAGATTAGGCCATAAACATTTTGAAAAGGAGCATACAAAACCCATTTTTAATAGACTAAAAATTCTTACAGTTCAAAACTTGTTCAAGTACCATTGCATTTCAGAATTCTCTAAGATTATCAAGTACCACTGCCCATACTCCCTTTATGAGGCCATCAACATTTCAAACCGTACAACGAGTTTAACGGTTATTCTTCTTAATAAATCAAATACTTTTTTGTTCACTGCAGCCAAACTTTGGAACACTGTTCATAAAAAAATTCTAACCTCAAGCAATTGCCTAGAAACTTCCATTAACTTGATAAAATTGAGAACCAAGGCACTATTATTACAAGTACAGGCTGCTGATTTAAAAGATACTTGGAATCCAAACAATTTTAAATTGCAGTAATCTATTCTTATCGCAGCAGCACACACTTAACACACTTAATATTACTATCATGATTGTATTATAGACTGAAAAGCTCTCAGATCAATTTTGGGCGTTTTTAACCACTTGTTGTAATGTTTTTAATTATTTAATATCTTAACTTAACTAAATTTTTATTCAGATCGAATTAACAAATAATATTTGATAATTTATTTGATAGTTTAGTCTGATATTGATATTGACTATATTGATATTGTTATTATTGAATGAAGTTAACTCCAGACGTACATAATATTACTTCTTTTAACAAAGGGACTTGGAGTATAAACGACCAAGTTAGCATACATTTTC